CAAAGTAAGTAAATCTGTTCATATCTAGAAAATACTAAGGTTTGGAGTTATTTTTTTGCTACCACAACACCAGGTGACTCACCAATTAGTCACATCGTAAAACTAGATCTGTCAAAGACAGTCTACTTCTGAGTTCTAGTTTTATCATGAAGGATGAACCATACCCATAGGTTAATAGGATCAGACGGATGATGTCAATTCGAAACTAGGTATCTACGTTTCGCAGCTACAGAAAACACCACGTTACAATCTATTCCTTTAATCGTGTCAATCAATGTGACATCAATTGAGACTAGAGAAGGAACACCACTGGTTTTCACAAAATTTATTTGTGTTCGAGAAAATTAAAACAATTAGTCCCTTTGATAAATTTGAACAAGGCATTAAGAAGACAAATTTCGCGAGATGATATCATTTCGTAGTTTCTTTACAACCGCTTTACAACTAACATGGTTAACAATGATAAAATAAAGTTCATGAAAATTACTCAGTTAAATAAAAACAAAAGTACATACTAATGACCAATCATATTAAGATAGGTCATGCAGTCCAGGGTAGGCGAAGATTGAAGTCTATTGATTTTTGTACACACAGTTTAGGCTGTATGTGATTAATCCAAAGTGCTTCCATCACCTTCAATAACCTTGAATTAGAGTTATGTGAAATAATTGTGAAACAGTCATTAATATTTATTTTGTGACCAGACATTAAAAAGTGTTTTGCAATGGATGATGCTGGATTTCTATTAAGATTAATCGCGTTAGGATTTTCGATATGATTTACTAGCCATTTTGGAATATGTTCTTTTCGACGACATTGGAACATTCTATATATAGGTAGAACTAACAGAATGTTCCAATGTCGTCGAAAAGAACATATTCCAAAATGGCTAGTAAATCATATCGAAAATCCTAACGCGATTAATCTTAATAGAAATCCAGCATCATCCATTGCAAAACACTTTTTAATGTCTGGTCACAAAATAAATATTAATGACTGTTTCACAATTATTTCACATAACTCTAATTCAAGGTTATTGAAGGTGATGGAAGCACTTTGGATTAATCACATACAGCCTAAACTGTGTGTACAAAAATCAATAGACTTCAATCTTCGCCTACCCTGGACTGCATGACCTATCTTAATATGATTGGTCATTAGTATGTACTTTTGTTTTTATTTAACTGAGTAATTTTCATGAACTTTATTTTATCATTGTTAACCATGTTAGTTGTAAAGCGGTTGTAAAGAAACTACGAAATGATATCATCTCGCGAAATTTGTCTTCTTAATGCCTTGTTCAAATTTATTTGTGTTCGTTAATATAATGTACATTCCGTAATTATAGGCAAACTAGGAAACGCACCAAGTCATCACATATACGAACAATAATTAAGCGCATAGGGTAGAGTAGATTTTAAGTAATGCCTACTCGATATGGCCCAGAGTTCATGTGGAGTAACACATGCCTACATCTGAAAGTGCGTGTGTAAGGTATCGCATTTCATCAGCCTTTCGTGTAAGTGACTCAATGGGTCGCCTCCATATTTAACAAATGCTCAGTCCATGAATTCTACTTGTACCTGTAAAACACAAACAATACCCTGCTGGGATATGGTGCTGTGTTACACCAGAGTCCCTCAGTTTACAGATAAATCACACCTAATATCAGTATTACCGCTTTTAGTTGAAAAAGTCATTCGACTGTGTCACAAATGCTTTTGGCTGGATTCCTCAGTGCCAAGTATTATTCCTTATGAGAGTGCATTGAAGAAACCCTGTAGGGTGATATTGAAGCTTCCCTGAAAATTGAACAGAAGCATTCCACTCATACAAGATGGATGCAGTAAAGAATACATTATTAACTCATTGCGCTCACTCCTACATTACCCTATAAAATTCTCTAGTTTTGAAATGAAACATGCACATATATATTGTGTCGTTTACTTCAGATACACACTAATATCTAAATTTCATACGCCTTCTGTCTCAATACTCCATGTAATAACAGTTTGATAGCTATTTACGAATGCAGTAATAAGTATTTCATGGGCCACGAGTAGCACTTGGTATTCAGCAGAGGTATGGACACTTAGTGATTGTAATTTAGAGAACTGATATGACAGGGTTAGCTTTTTTCTAATATATACGCAACTATCAACACAATGAAAAGATAATGACGAATTGTTATCACAAGCATTCTATTTACTATGGAGGGAATGTTATTACAAACTAGCTTCACAGTAACATGTACAAGTCTTGCATGTCATTGCATCGGTAATATTAGCACACTAATTGTATTACGGCCAAATGTAAATGATTTAAAGGCATCGTAACAATAACTTTGCGGGAGGTAGATGTATTGAAAGACTGCTTGCAGACACTATGCATGACGACATCTGGTAGAATGTCTACGGAGACTGACAACCTGCAATGAGGAAGACAAAAATGAAACAATTAGGAGACACATAACGCACAAGATAAGTATTTTTGATATAAGCATAAAACTTGGGCACTGTGGTAGAGTATAACTCCATTATGGATACGATTTTATCTTGGTAAATCACACAGTGTTGGAGAGCAATATTACTTGGTGGCGTTTTGAGCATAAACTATTGCTCATCATCATATCAAGTCAGTCACACAACTTTTTGCCTCATTCATATACATGAGTATTTTACTTAAGCGTACTACAGGGATAAAAGGTCACTCGTCTCATTCACTTCTATTCACACCATTTCTTACGTCCATGTTACTGACTTTTGGTTTATGTTTTCCTCTTCGGTGCACTTTATCTGGACAGTTTAAGGAATCGGGAAATGCATAGAGTACTTAGGAAACGGCATGAATAATTGTTTAAGCTAATTAACACTAGGTAGTTGTGACACTACGCATTTGTAGTGACAAAGCTGACTGACTGAGTTTTAACATGGAACTCAGCACAGAAGTGTAGCAGTTCAATTTGTGACCTTCCACACTTGAAAAATATTAAATTTGGTTGGTAATAAGCATAACATATTTCATCAGATGTGTTTCAACTTCGCAGTTGGGCTACGTGATAAAATTAACTAACTAATGAGATATAACGAGACAGAGTGTGAACCAATATCACTTTTTCATTTGACCGACCCAAACGCATTTTAAACCTTAACATGTGCTGGTCAGCATTGTCCCTGGAGGAAGGCGATGGCTTAGTATGCCAGCATGTGTTCTAGCCATCTCAACCTATTCAGCTTCCCTACCTTGAAGGCTAACTAACCCTCCCCACCTAAACATTTATGCGTAACCTCAACAGCACTCGCCATATTATACTGCTTTACTGATGAGATAGAACGCGGACACCTATAATCAAACACCGGTATTATTTTCATATTTTACAGCATCAGGGTTACTTCTCATAGTCTAGGTGGACAATATCATCAGCAAACCGTAAGGTGATGAGAATATTCCCTGATAAGTCTTTGAAGTCAACTACAGACTATCATATTATTATATGTGTGATTGAATTGAACTGATATAAGGGTGACAGTTTAAGAATTCAGCCTTGTATTACATCCCACTCGGAAATGTGTCTTCTCGGATTATTCGCAAACAGTATTCAGTGAATAGAAAACATTCTGTTGGCTTAATGAAACTCGTAAACTGACGCACTACTTTTGCAGGCAATATACTATTTCCTCAATAAAGTGAGAATTGAATACTTCGGCTGCATAAAACGAGTAAGTAGTATCCTGGGAATAGCAATGACTACAACAAGTCTAGGAGTTAAGCACTACAACTTTTACTTTACTGAATACACCAGCAGACTTTACATAAACAATTGACAGATCAAATTTATACAGGGAGTCAGTAAGATTTAGTAAACTAAAAGTGCTTTCGGTTTCCACAGGAGTTCTCCGTGCCGAATTTATTCCTTCAAGGGCCTACAAAGATTAAAACTTCAATTAAATAACACTGATGTGGAAGAAATTCCATTCTTCATTACTACACTTAATGAAAATGAATGCACTAAGAACTCAGTGCAACTCGATACACAATAGTATATATACAAATAAACTGAAAAATAATGCCCTCCTTACCTTCTAAACAACTTGTCTTTATTCCAGGATTATAGTTTTTCACGTATGAGCCTGAGTGATGTCTACGAAATCGCAATATTACATCAGTTAAATCTTCCCCGAAAACCAAGGCCACTTGAAACCAATAGCAACATAGCAACAAGAGTCATTGAGGGGATATGCAATAAAGTCGCTCTATTTTACATTCTGGAATTATTAAAATGATAGAAGTTTTGTAATTTGGTAGCCATTGTGTGTTTCTGGCAGGAGTGCTACTAATATTAGTTTCGGCCTGGGTGTGAATTTCAAGATAAATCGAGTGTCCTTCTAAACTAAGGAAGAAAATATAGTCACCTATAACCTAATTCCCTTGACCAAGACCAACCACGTGATCAAACCGTTATGTCTTCTTACTAGGGGAAATCTCACTGCCCGAAAATTTTGAATCATGAAAGCAAAAACATCAGCGAAAATCATATAGAATTTTCCAGAAAGTTCATCATCGAATGTCTACCAGTGAACACACATTCCAGTTGTAGAAATTCATAAATGTAAATGTTGAAGCACTAATTTTCCAACCATTTTTAATATATCGCAATGCTGAAAACATTATAAAGACTAGTAGCACACCCATTGGGTAAAGTAGGGTGTATTGGAAATTAAAATTACAAGCTACATATAATTAATCTCAACACCACTCCTTTTGAAGTCAACCGAAGCTATGACAGTCAAGTGGCGGGACGAACTACGCAGAAGTTTACCGAAGACTGGAAGCCTTAACCTCACAACCAAGAACCAAACAGAAAGAAACCAAATTAAACTACACTAAAATTTTTTATTGGATATTGGAAATCTGCAATTGTTTTTATATGTTTAAATGATTATAAAGGTTGCATAAAGGACTCGCATCTTTTTGAACTAACAAGCGTCCACAGTAACGGGATGCCGGGATCATGGTCACCACTATATTTGCCATCTGCGGAGTATAGTGGCGAAAAAACTTCTGAAATTAATATTCGGTTAAATTTCAAGCATATTGACTACTATCTGTCAGAAAATGTTTGTCCAAATTTTGATTGTATAACTATTGGAAATCAATTTTTAGGATGAAGTTGATTCGGAATATGATCTGAATATATTCGCCTTTGACGATGCAAGTAAAACTATTCTTAGCAATATATGGACTTTCAGTAAGCTTGAAAAAGATTCTAAGAGAGAACGTGTGACCTTAGCGCTAAGACAAGTAGGATGCATTATGTTAATATATTAGTTTTTCAAAGTCCCTCTATTTTCGCACCACTGTGCTGAGTCCTTCAATGTATTTCGTATTTGTGCTCACCTCTTACAATCTTGTGGATGCGAATAAAAAATCAGAAATCGGATGGTGTTCCGTAAATATTCAAGAAATGTTACGCAGCTCTTCGTTTCATTCCTGCAGCGCAAACTTTTTGAAGGGGTCGTGTCGCTTGTTGTACATTTTATCTGAAGGTAACGAGAGTCTCACAGTAATTTAAAACTGTCTTTAGTTTGTAATCCATCTACTTTGGTCGCTGACAAACATATTATTTATTACTCTGGCGAATCAAATGAAGAACTTGATAATTGTTTGTACCTGATTCCTGAGAATCGATTTGTTCCATTTTTAGCCCGAATTCCTGGGATAAATACAGATAAAGAATTAAACAAATGGAGCTCCGGAATCTTTGTAAAGACTTACATAGAAGATATATCAATCACGACGAATTCTTGTCAGATAGCCGATTTTGAAAATTATTTGTGTTCAAAGGTTGCTGATGACATAAATAACGCTTCGAACAGAGTTGGGGCTCTGGCTTCTGTAAAACTGCAAGTTTCAGAGAGAAGGATTAAGGTTATTGATTTTTTAGATCCATTTTAATTTAACAGTTTTGCTTCAGTAAACTTTTAAAATTGAAAAAGCTTGTGAAACTAAAATTTTTATTTTAATTAAGCGCAGCTTGTTTTAATTTGGCGTCTGAAGACAATTCGAGTGAAACTGTCAACTTACAGCACTTAGCTCTTTCTATCTAACGTTAAATGTCTTCATTGCAAGCTAATCTGAGTCATTTAATTTTTACGCACTTCCTTTTCCACTTTAAGGAAGAATCCCAGAAAATGGCCCAATTCTTCTTTACTTATTTTAGCAGTGGTAGATACTGTGTGGTAGTTGCAAATGTAATTTTGAAGGGAATATTTAACCCTATAAGATATAAGTACATGGGTTGTATTAGGCTATGGACCTAGACTGTCATATAACCTCAAAGTAAATCATGAAAACACACGGAATAAAGGAATCATTTCAGCTTTAAAAATAAAGATTTCTTTGTGATTGGGGTAGCCACACAATCTAGTATGCCTGATGGGTGTGTCGCAGTAGAATATACACTTCTTTCAGAGGGTTTCAACTGTTAACACCACTACAACATCGACAGCAAAAATGATTTGACGAATTCTCTATTAATTCACAAACTTATTTTCAAATGCAATTTCTCCTTATTATCAGTCCAGCGGTTTACATAACAGTCAACAATGAATTCATTTTAAGACCTCTAAAGACACAATCAGTCGAAAGGTTTCACAGTGTAGCAGTAACTCTTGTCACTCTTAGGTCATAGAAATGCGGAAAATTTGTGGAATTAGTACACATTGAAGTTCATAAATCTCTGTTTGTTGCCATCCGAAGAGTATTTTACACACCTCGTCGTATCCTCCTTTATCTCGGGAAGGCGAACCGAATGCTTTAAATTTTTAGGTTTCTGAATGTCAATTCATAAATAAGATTGTTAGACAATTGGTGTGTACTTTAGAATGTATCGTGATCTATTGACAGGTTTGTGTGATATGTTATACACACGGGAAATACGCTTTTTTTCCTATGACGAAGACGCGGTTTCATTTTCTCCAGGTTCACCCCTGGTTCATTATATCGTTTGATGGTAGAACTGGTCGTCTGCGTCTGCTTATATTCTCTTTCTCAAATAAACTGTTTAGTTTAAAGTGCAGTAGCACTGCACTACTGTGAGCGATTTTAAGTTGGTATTTTTGTGGGAAATTGTCGCGAAAGTTGTGTCTGAATTGAGATTATGAGTTATTTAAAAGATATTTGTTCTATGGTGATTTCACATTAACCTCAAATTGAACGCTGATTCTTCTAACGTCATTACACATGAAGGTGCACCAGTGAAATAATAGATCTTCGATTTATTGGACTAAGTAACTGACTGCTTAATAACCTGCTATGCTTCAGGGGTATGATGATCTTTGGTGATGTGTTTGACTTGCTCAACACCTTATTATCCGAAAGGCATTGTAATGCACTCATGTTTAGCATACTCTCTAAAGTACGTCGGTGGCATAGCGGTTAGTATGCTCGCCGACCATGCACATGGCCCGGGGCTCTATCCCCGGGCGGCGTGCTCCTTTACCTCGCTAAGCCAGAAATAAAAGCTGGTCAAGAGGAAATGTTGGGCATGAGGCTAGCAACCCCATCCTGTAAAAATAGTTACCACTGCTACAGAAACTTCAGGCCTCTAGCTTGAAGCCGCCCTATGTTCCACTGAGAATGTGAAGGAATAAAAAAAATACTCTCTAGAAGTACTTTTCAAATTTTAATGAAGTATACGTTATTTTCATGAAAACATATTGTCGTGGAGGGCCCAAATGTTTTGATAAGGTATTAAATATACATAGATTCAGGAATAATTTAAGTTGTGATACGGAGTTTTTGTTTGTCTCGGTTTTGATTAAGCCACACTTTCCATTTATGAACACAGCCACATCAGATATGAGAAAATCATTAGGTTGAACAATCAGAGTTAGTAGACTTCAATAACTTGATACTTATCATGATAAAAAATTAATTTCATGAGCATAAAATGCTTTCGAATCCATTGGGTTCAGATGTTACTCGTCATAAACTAAAACAAAATTTCTTGAATGACTTATGATGGATTACTTTGCCGTTTTTTTTGCATATTTTCAGTTGTTGTTTCGTCTGTCCCCGGATACTTACCTATTTTGTTACTATCCTCACTGAGTTGGAGAAGTTCAGATATTTGAATCATTGTAGTATTGTGATGAGAGCTGGCTGTTAGTCATAATTGGTGGACAGTAATTTACGTCAATGTTTATATGCCAAATATTAGTCGTGAGAAAAATAAGAACAAAGACTTTGCGCAGGCGGATACAGTTAGCATACAGATGATCTGACATTCAAGACCTGTCAGCGATGAGGTTGTTACTTGGGTCGCTGCTGAGAGGTCGGGAGAAAGCAGCATTTGAAACTGTGAGGCGAAACACCGACGAATGTGAGACAGGGTCAGGCAAACAGTTTACAAAGTGGGAAGGACCACATATGGTCACTTTGAGATGGGGTGACGCAGACACAATCGTAATGGTAAACCAAGAGAAACAGGTGAACATCGGCGGTTGCCGAGATCCCAGACAGCAACACAAACGAGGAAAGCCCCTAGAACCAAGAAGACCAAACTAACTTCAGTCGCAAGTCTTTGATGGGGGGACGAGTGTGGTGAGAGCTGGCTGCTAGTCAAAGTTGGTAGACAGTAATTTACATCAGTATTCATGTGCCAAATATTAGTCGTGAGAAAAATAAGAACAAAGACTTTGCGTAGGCGGACACAGTTAGCATATAGGTGATCTGACATTCAAGATATGTTGCCTGGTCCTTGTCTTCTGTTATTACAATATTACATTAGTTTATACAACGGCGTTTTGATTAAACTGTCTTTTTAGGAAACAAAATTTCATTAGGAATCTTTTAGTGATACAAATTTATTTCCGTCAATAAGAGCTGAAATGTTTTTTTGAAGGCTCAACAGGAATATTTCATTAGTTTCCTTAATTGAGCTGGAATTTTCAACATTCTTATAGTAGGATGAAGAGCGTTTAATTCTCGGATAACTTGGAAATTAGAGGTATTTTGATGTAAGATCTGTACACGTTTAATCACTTTTTCCACTTTAGCTAATTGACATTATTACTTGGAAAAGTCGACAAATAAGAGTAGAGAAGTTCAAAATCAGGATGTTGAGCAATGCATCCTTCATAATACCTCTGATTCTTTCCCTGTTTCATTTGTTAATGATAACCATAAGTCGATTAGTTTAGTGTTTTCAAAGGCGGCTGAAGGGAATTTCGATGAGTGGGTACCGTGATAGAACACCTGTCAATTATCTAGTGACCAAAACCGACTCGATATGGTCTGAACGCAGGGAAGTGATCTCTGGGTCCTATTGTATAGCTGACAAAACTTTCTTGAGACACGTGAGGTCACGAAACTCTCCAAAGACGGAAGAAATAGGATTATTCTTCAGTAGTTTGCGACTTTACTGAAACAATAATAACATTGGAGACTCGAAATCACTTCATCAGTACCGTCAGGTTCAATCGAACAAAATTATGCCGTACAACACATTGTCAATGTATCCCACAGCCTCAAACAGAAGCATTAAAATTAGGGATATTTTTTATTCCTTCACGTTCCCAGTGGAACACAGGGCTTGAAGCTAGAGGCCTGAAGTTTCTGTAGCAGTTAGCCTCATGCCTAACGTTTCCTCTTTACCAGCTTTTTTATTTCTGGCCTAGCAAGGTAAAGGAGTGAGTCGGCGGCCGGGGATAGAACCTCGGACCACATGCATCGTCTGCAAGCGTCCTAAATGCTGTGCCACCGACGCACAAAATTTGGGATTAAATAAGGGCAATGACATATAATAAAAGTCAAATTCACCATGGGATATACAAATGTTACGACAATCATGTACAGTTCAGGAAATAAACGGATAGTAGTCGAAAAGTTGGCTGAAACTTCTAGATAAGTATAAATGTTGTGGTTAGATCGTCCAGGGGAGATTTTCCAAATAATCCTTCCATTACAAATTATTCAACGGCCCATGAATACACTCAAAATATCTTTAATTTCTTTTCCTTCAGCGTTTTCGATCAGTGCGGATTTCGTTATTTGTGGAAGAAGTTACAAGGTGGTTTTTCCTACGAAGTGGCTAAAGCAGACTGAAATAGACTTAAAGCTGTTTAGGCTGTAATCGACAGTCTAAGCCATTGGGACTTTAATTTGATTGGATAACCTTTTTCCCCATACCAAATTATGTGTGACGATTTTAAGTTGACGCAATTTTTGTGAGTTAACTGCAATTTAAGGTGTGTTTTTCTCTCTTGCAGATTTTTCTACACAACCGTTATACTGTTGTCCAACCTGTGCCAGTTATTTATTTAGATACAATTCTTGATTCAGAGAGAGGATCCTGCTCAGGGAGAAGGAAGTCGACAATTCTGCCAGGTAAATTAACGAGATGTCTTACTTTTTATATCCGGCATTTAGTGTCTTCATCGAAAACACTCCTTGTAGCTCGGAATGACTCTGAATTATTTGCTCCTCAGGATCCTCAGTGTGCAATAGTATTTATCCTGGAGTATGTTTTGTGTGAAGTAAGTTTTAATGGGATTTTATCTCTTGGTATATATAATAACGCATTGTATTTCTAGACAACATCAGTGCAAACTTAGATATCTAGTTGAAGGTGAAGATACTTGGAGGTTGTTTCTATGGATTAGAGCTTGTCTGTCTGTCTGTTTTCGACATAGAACTTTGCACAAATGTGCGGAAGTTCAAGTCGCCACACTCCGTGTAGCACGCGAAGCAAGAGAAGAAAGTACAAGAAAAGCATAATAGAAACAGTGAGCAGAGGTGTGAGACAAAGGAGTAATAAAGAAATACAAAACAGTTTCATTGGAGATCATAAGTCACAAGGAGTGGATGCATATGGAAATCTAATAGTTCTCTTTGTTCTGTCCTATTTGTCGTCTTAGGAGTAGTAGAATGTTTAGATTTAAAAAAATTCTACTACCCCTACGACAAATAGGAGAAAACAAAGAAAACTATAAAACTCAAGTTTCAAAGTCGTGTGATTACAATTGATGACATGATTATGAACAATAAATTGTGTTCGAAACGTCATCCAGCAAATAATAATACTGTTTCACTGTGTGATACATCTAATTTGTTATTATTATTGTATCCTTTAGTTCCTAGAGGAACATAGGACCTCAGCTACGCACCTCCATTGCCTTCTGTTTTCTGACAACTTTTTCACTTCGCTCCAGGTCTGCCCACATGCTTTCATCTCCTCCTCGCATGACCTCCTCCAAGTCACCCTCACACTGACGACTAAGTCGCCGCTTCCCTTTCGGGTTCCATTCGAGCGATGGCTTGTCTAGTGATGTCACTTGATGGTTTGTTTCCTCAAAGTATGGCCAATCCATCTCCACTTCTTCCTGCCTATTTGTTTCACAATCGGTTCCTGATTGGTTCGCTCCCAGAGATCTCTACCTGTAGGTGATCTTTTCTGACCCGCCGTCTGATCTTGAGTATTGAACGAAGACAGCTGTTAATGAAGGTTTGAAGTTTGTTTGAGATGCTCTTTAAGACTCGCCAAGTCTCTGATCCGTATAGTAGCATTGACTTTACATTGGAGTTGAAAATCCGGATGTTATTTTTGATGGTGAGTGCTGTTGACCTCCACACAGATTTGAGAGTAATGAAAGCTTGTCTTGCTTTTCCGATTCTGGCTTTGATATCCTCGTCAGTTCCGCCTGTAGTTGAGACAACGCTTCCCAGGTAGGTGAAGGAGGCTGTTTCTTTCAGGTTCTTCCCATTTATGCTGGCTGATTGTTGTCTGTTGTTGTTGTTGCTGTTGATGTTGGCTAGGAATCTTCATCACCTCTGTTTGATCTATGTTCACTTGAAGTCCCATCTTTGATGCTTCTTCTGCCAACATGTTACTTTTCACTTGCATATCTTCTAGTTTGTGGGAAATCAGAAATATATCATCGGCGAAATCCAGATCCTCCAAGTCTTTTGTGTCAGTCCATTTTATGCCTGTTCCCTCGTTGGTTGCCGTTGTCTGTCGCATTATCCAATCAATTGCAATCAGGAAGATCATTGGTGATAGTAGACAGCCTTGCCTCACTCCCGTCCTCACTTCGAAGGCTTCCGTAAGTTTCCCTTTGTGGATTACTTGGCATGCAGCATTGTCGTATAGCTGTTGTATGAGATGTATAATTGTCGATGGGACCCCGATATATCTAATAAACAAACTAATATGTAACTTCTTACTACCACCACAGTGCCCAAGTTTTACACATATATTAGCAATTCAATTCACTTATGAATTAGAAAGTCAGGAAGGGGAGCTTCCAATGTTAGATTGCAGCGTAAAAAGGAAAGAAGATGGGGAGTTAAACAGTCTAGTGTTTATTGGAAACCCACAGATTCAAACAGATATTTGAACTTCCGATCATCCCAGCCAATCTATGTCAGTGAAAATAGGATTGGTGAAATGTTGAAGCGATAGAGCACAAAAGCTAAGTGGTACCAAAGAAATTCTAAGATAGGAAGAGAGGCATATAAAAAAAGCTTTCAAACTTAATAATTACCCTGATAAATTGGTCAGAAAGTATGTAGGGAAATGTAAAAATAAATAAATAATAACAGCAGTGATAGTAATAATAAGAATGATAATAATATTAATGACGACATGCATGTCAAATATGCGCAAGAGAATGACAACACCAACAATAGGGAATCTAAATCATGAGTGGTACTTCCATACAAGGAGGGGATCTCGGAAACCGCTTTACGCAGAATTCTTAACAAGACAGGCAGGAATAAAAGTGGTTGGCATTCAAATCACCCACAAACTCAATTAGAAACAAGCTCTGTCGGTTAAAGAATCAATCCCGTGGAGCCTTTAAAACAAAACAATTTAGTTTATCTAATATCCTGCAATGGTTGCCAAGTCAAATACATAGGTCAAAGTAGTAGAACAGGGCTCAGTCAGTCAGACAAGCCGAGCATAAAAACCTAGCAAAATCTAGATTAGTTGACCCCAATAATAAGATAAGAAATCTAGAGGAGGGTTCAGCTATTACACACAACCACACAGTAAAACGGAATAGTATGACAGTTTTAAAACTTAATGTCACAGGGTGGAAGGAGAGACTGATAACAGAAGCTTTGTTTACGAATCAACTGACAAAGAGTACCTGTAACAGGAATGATTTAACACCTCCCCAGCCTGACATCTGAAAAATTCTACTGCCTCACCGACGACAAATAGGAGAGAACAAAGAAGACTATAAAACTCAAGTCTCAAAGTTCTGTGATTATAATTGATGGAATGATTATGAACGATAAATTTTGTTCAAAACTGTGTCATCCAGTAAACAGTAATACTGTTTCACTGTGTGATATATCTATTAAACAAACTAATATGAAGTGTACAAAATTGTTTTCCACTGTGAAGTACTTCTTCATGTAACCGAAAAAGTTGTACTCCAACCGATTTCCCTACAAATTAGTTATTTCAAACTTCGGGACTTTTCCTATGTTGGCCTTGTTCTCTTAATCTGATAAGCATTCAGAGTCTTAACTGTGAAAATATAAGTCATGGGTTTCATTAACTAGATACCACGGCTCCAAACAAAACAGTCTTTTTTTTCATCTAAAAATTGTATTGCAAATTTAAGAGGGAATTTCGGAGAAAGACTTGTGAATTGCAAGATAATAGCATACATAGGTTATTTACGCACTGTCTGTCTGTTTTCGACATAGAACTTTGCTTTTTGTTTAGTTTTTTTGTCGTATTAGAACAATCGTGTGGGTCCCAAGTGGGGAAATGATAATCTAGGCCGAAGCTAACGAGCGGTAACCGGGGGTGCCATCCAAGAAAAATCCTCCCTGTTTTATTTTCTATATCACGATCACAAAACATAAATCTAAAACCAAAAAAAAATAGTGACTTGCTATAGGTTGGAGTTTCCTGAGTTCTAGTGAGAAGTCGTGACCAGTGAGGTCCAATTAGATGTCACGTGTGTGGATGGATGTCCCACCAACGACAATGGTTGGGGTCGCGCTAAATCACGAATTGGTAGAAGTTAGAATTCACGAGCCATTGAATCGGGTCCCAGTGGCTGAATGATATACGAGCTGGCCTTGAAACCGGAAGGTCCTGGGTTCGAAACCCAGTGGGTGCGTACTGCCGATGATTCCCAAACTAGGATGAAACAGCAGCTGTCCAGTACTCCCTGGTTTTCAATGCTTCTCTAACTGATATCAATCCGTAATCAATTCGTAAAATAGAACTTTGCACCGATATGCAGCAGTTCAAGTCACCATACGCCCTTCATGTAGCACAGAAAGCAAGAGAAGAAAGTGGAAGAAATGCATAATAGAGACAGTAAACAGAGGTGTGAGATGAGGGAATAGTAATAACGAAGAACAATATAGTTCCATTGGAAATCATCAGTCACAAAGAGTGGATTCATCTGCCCCATTCTTTGAGAACGATGAGTTTGAGCCATATCACCAATTGTTTCCAGCCTTCATTGGTTTTAACCATTTCGAGGACCCTAACTAGTCAGAAAGTCTACACCTTCCTATGTGGCTTAAACTAACTGTTATGGATTTCATTGACTGGTGCCATATTTTGGTTTGACCACCACTGGCTAGCTCTTTTCCAGCCTGACCCTATGTCAGCTAACATTGCCTGTTGTCGAGGAAGGCGATGACTAGGCATACGTAACACATTTCCTAACCATCTCAGTCGATGTAATTTCACAGACTAATCTATTGATTAGGCACTCGACGCCTAACCTCAATATTGCTCACCATATAACGCCACTTTACACGGGAGATAGAGCGCAGGCACCTATGATCAAAAGACAGCTAATCTTTTCATGTCTTCCACTCTCAGTGACCAGGTCTCACAGCTATAAATGAGGACGGAACGGACTACTGCTGAGCAGTACACCCATCCTTTGGTCGATAGTCAGATATCACATCTACTAAGCCCGAGACGGCGTAAACTGGCATATACAAAGCTAGCCCTCTTTATCCGTGCTATGATTTCGTCAGAGATCAACCCGTTGGCACTGGCTGATGGTACTTCCCAAATAAGTGAAGCGGTCAACGTTCTCTACCACTTCATTCTCTATTTCTAAACTATTTGCATACACATACACACACTAGAATATTTTATACATACCATCATCTAAGCATGCAAACTAATAGGCATCTACAACTTACACCTATACGTCTAGAGATCTTCTTATGAAACTCCCAAAAACCAGCAATTTTCTAATACCGTTTAATCAATGGAAAATCTCCATAAACATGCTTTTTCTGAACTCTTACAAAGCCAAACCAGAACGACAGTTTGATCTTCCGAAATACGAAAAGTATTGTTTGGCTATCTGAAACATAGGACAACAGTGTCTGCCTGGTCAACTAGAGGGGGTACACACGAACAACCCAAATTCATATGACAGCGTATAAAAATGGTATGGATACTTGACTGCGGAACTTCAACCTTTAACACAATGGTTAGCACTCAACAGTGAATGATGAATCTTATGGGCTAGTAATTTTAGACAAACAGATTTATTGATGACTGTTGAAGTACATAGAAATTACGATGGCTGATAAATCTAAAAATTAAGGTAAGTTAAGGATCAAAGAACAGATGAAATATACGAAGCATAATTTAAAAGACAAACGATAGCAATTATGAAGAATATTGAAAACAAGGAGCGGTTTTCGTCTTTTCTTAGCGTAGTTGTTAACCAGTTGCTGGAATGACTGGCACAAAATCTCTACTTTTGAGGTAATTAGGATATTATTATTATTATCGTTTCCGTTATTTCCTAGAGGAACATAGGAGTTCAGCCGTACATTTCCATTGCTTTCAGTTCTCTGACATTGTTTTCATCCGGCTCCACGTCAGCCCACATGCTTTCATCTCCTCTTCACATGACCTTCTCTATGTCACCCCACCCTGGTACTGACAACCAACTCACCGATTCCTATTCGGGTTCCATTCGAGTGCTTGTCTAGTGACGTCACTTGATGGCTTTCTCAGAGAATGGTCATTTCTTCCTGCATATTTCTTAGACAGCTGATTCCTGCTGGGTTGGTTCGCTTCCAGATATCCCTCCCTATTGCTGATCTTTCCTGGCTGGCTATCTGATATTGACTAGTATTCAGAGAAGACAGCTGTTAATGAAGGTCTGTAGTTTGTTAGAAGTGCTCTTCATGACGCGCAAAGTCTATGATCTATAAAATAGCACTGACTTCACATTAGAGTTGAAAATCCGGATCATATTTTTCATGCTGAGAAGTGCTGTTGATCGCCACACAGACTTGAGAGAAATGAAAGCTTGTCTTGCTTTCCCGATCTTCGCTTTGATGATCTCCTCATCAGTTCCGTCCGTCTGCAGTTGAAACGATGCTGCCCTGGTAGGTAGGTTGGTAGGTGAAGGAGGTTGCTTCTTTCAGATTTCTTCCATTTATGCTGTTTGATTGTTGTCTGTTGCTGTCGCTGTTGATGTTGGCCAGAAATCTTTTTTTTTAGATTTACAGCTTGATTCCACACTGTATTTTTGGTACAAGTATGGAATTTTCAGCATGGATATCGGTAGCCCAAATTTCGCAGGCTGTCCATAGATATCAGGTGTGCGCCGGCGTGGGCTCGAACCCCGGACCATGTGCATGGTCGGCGAGAGTCCTAACCACTGTGCCACCTCTGTTTTATCCATGTTCACCTGGAGGAAGTCTTATCTTCTCTGGATGTTTCTTCTGCCAACTTTTTGCTTTTCACTTGCATATTTGCCAGCTTTTGTGAAATCAGATATATATCATCGGTGAAGTTCAGATCCTCCACGTTTTTTGTTTAGGTCCATTTTATGCCTGTTTCCTCGCTGCCCGCCTCGGTCTGTCACATTATCTAATCTACTGCAATCAGGAAAATCCTTGGAGAGAGTAGACAGTCAGCCAAACAGCCAGTCAGCTTGTCTTACCCCCGTCTTCACTTCGAAGGATTCCGTCAGTTTCCGGTTGTGGATTACTTGGCATGCAGCATTGTCGTACAACTGTCGGATGAGGTGTTTAATTGTTGGCGGCACCCCTCTGTAGTAGCAAAGTATTTTCCAAATCACCTGTCAACTGACGCTATCTCCTGAAGGCATTTTCAACGTCTACGAAGTTGAGTGAGGTGCAGAGCTGACTGCCATTCCAAGCTCTTTCAATGATGGATGATCCATAATGTTGCGATTTGATCGATGCTAGACTTGTTCCGCTTGAATCCAGCCTGTTCCGGATAAAGTTTTCCATCCAGGACGTGTTTGATTCTCTCCAGGATGATGCGACTTAGTATTTTGCTTGGGATGGACAGGAGTATAATGCCGCGCCAGTTCTTGCATTGACTTAAGTCTCCTTTGGACACAGTCTCTCAAAACCTTTTTCTGTGTGATATATGAACTTTTTTGTGGGATTACCTCGTAAATTTCAATTCTGTGACCTAAGCAGTATAATGTCTACAATATACGTTATTAATATTTTGAATTGTACATCTCAGTGTGAAACGGTCAGGCTCAAATTTTACTAGGAGTTCTTGTACCAAGTGCAAGTTAGATTTTCTTAACCCAAGGGTAATCCTCAGTCTATTACAACCGAAATCTTTCTACTATACCTAAGCTTATATTTCACCTTCAATCATCACCCATTATATCCGCATTAGTCTACCAACAGAATATTGTTCCAAATGGCCTCGAAGCGCGTAAGAATTTGGCAATGCAATTTTAACTACTTGTTAGTAGTATGTAAAATTAGTACAAAAAAGAATAGTTCTTTAAGTTGCAAATCAAGACAATTTATTTATTTATTTATTCATTTAGATTACAAGTTCAACAACTCCACTGAAAATGAATTGTTCAGTTAGATGGGCAACGTATCCATTTGAAGATAATGTTGAAATGTTTAAAAACGTTGGAAATCATTCAACAGCCTTGAATTTACCATTACATGGAAGTGTAGAGCCGGTAACTAATTCAAATGTTAGTTTATCGTCTCTCCCTAACAATAATACTAACGGAATCCAAATTCCAACATCTGATGACTTTGAAAAGTCTTTACTGAAAACAGTCTGCCCAGATGGGAGCTTTTGTTTTACAGAAAACGTTAACCCAATGATGGAACTAATTTTAAATTGTACCATATCTACTGGGATTCGAAAAGATACGGTGAGGGATTACAAATGAATTTTCAGTTTTTTTTTTAATGTTAAATATAATGGATTTTGTGACTAATTATTTTTAGTTAATTAAAATACATTTGAATAAAGCGAGAACTACAGCTACCATCATTCTGTATTTCGTTGCCTTCTAATCAACTGCTTACAGGCCACAGTCATTATTACGTATATCTACAGAAACAATTTTAACATACTTGCACAGAGTTCATTTTAAAACAAAAATCAATCAGTCAGTATATGCATACAGTAATAATATGTACACATATATGTATATGTAATATTAAACACTGTTTCGAACAATAGTGATCATACACGATGGCAACTTTACGGCATTACATATTCAGATGAAAGAGAGATGAAAAATATCCAGTTACCTGGTAGGGCAAAGAAAGACTGATAACCCGCTTCTTTCTGAACGCACAAGTCAAGTCTCAGGCGCTTGATGGGGATGGCTTGAGAAAAGTTGAGGAGACTTGAGCTCTATTGCCTATTGATAATTCTGAACGATTTTTTGACGTCCACCTCATGACCCGTGTCAAGGAGAGGCCTGTTTATTGCACTGTTTAAAGCATTTGTTCCCTTTAAACATAAGCTTTTTGGTATATGTTCAGAAAATCGTAGATATGCCCTTCTTCTTTCTGTCCTTCCAATGTAACTGCTCCCGCAGAAAGTTCTACTTCCTCGACATTGTCATGCAACGCCTAGAAGACTGTAGTCTTCAAAAGGCAATTTATCGAGAGCCTACATGGAAAGGACAATACTTACATTTTAATGGCTTTTGTCCAAACAGCTTTCAATGCAGACTAGTCAAGGCTCTGTGCTATACAGCGAGGAAAATATGCTCTATAGAGAAATTAGAGGAAGAATTTGAGTTTCTTGAAAAGATGTTGAAGAGTAATGGTTACCCTCAAAGATCCGAAGTCTCTTATGTAAAACAAATCACAGTGGAGAAAAAGTCTATTTACATTCAACGTGATTATAAAGGGGAAAACATTGCAGCAATGATCAACTGAAGACTGAGGACGTCACTAGCCAGAGTCTATCATGCAGTTAGCTAAGCTGGTTCCCGTCCATCAAACAAGTTGCTCTTTGGTGCAATCAAAAATTGATAGATATCCTTCTCATGTTAACTCCAACTGTATATATAAAATACATTTTATGACTTCTCTCATGAAGATGGTACGACTGTAATTTAGGTAGAGGAGAAAATAATCCTCTACTGAAGTCGTTTTGAATTTCTTGCTGACTGATTGTGTTATTGATTTTTGTCGACCGTATCTGCGCTGATGTATTGTTATCTAGTACTGACACTTCAGAAAAGGCTTGAAATGTATATGATATAACTAGGTAGCTGAAAGCTAGCATCGAAATTCAGGAAATAAAGTGTTTTGTCCTATTTGAGTGTCGTCAGTTGAAGAATTACGCCAATGATTTCTCTGTTAGCCACCAATATCTAAAGAAATATCAAGTTCACTTCGGGTCATTGCGTAAGCTTCCGTACTAGAAGGCGAGGTATCATCGAGGTAATGAACATTTCAGTCCAGCAAAAAACCATTCTGAAGAGAATTCAAAATAACTTCTCAAAATAATTACATCTGATCCTCATTGCACAAGAAGTAGCTTATTGGCCAAGTGAATAATAATAATTAGACATTTGAAACTATGGGTTATGGCTTTGAGCTTCAGTGAAAACACCACTATGCATTGGAGATCCAAGTACATCTAGCTGAGAGGTTCTCAATATATGATGAAACGCGCTTCTTGAACTCCATCGCTAGTTACTGCCGACCAACTTTGATATATGTGTAATAAATTGTTGTACTAATATTTTGTGATATCGATTATGGCCAAGTTAAACTTTAAGCACCACTAACAACTACCAATGGAGTGCTACAGCACCAATAACCTTGAAACGCTCACTGAGCTAGTTAGTGAAATCCGGTAAATAATATTGTCACCATCAATAAAATATCTTCATCGAAGTGTGATGCTATTAAATGGGATATCTGGCAAGTTTCAGCTTAGGTTTGCGAAAGATTAAGTTACTCTTGAAGCCAAGGACAAGTTAGTGATAGGTTAATCTGACAAAGGCGATAGTAATTTTGGTTCGAGTTAGATTACAGTTAGTTTAGGGATATTTTCACGTAAGGGTTAGGTTCAGGAAAGATTAGGGTTATTGTGTTAGGGTTAGAAGACCTAAATAATTACATGCATAGAATGTGTTAAAGTTACTCTGTTGATTTACGAACAGAACTTATGCACTGTGGTGGAGTATAATTCCATTGTGGGTAAAGTTTATTTTGATAAAGTCACACAGTGTTATGCAGTAGTATTATTTACTGATGACGTTTCGAGAACAATTTGTCGCTCAAGAAATATTACTGTATAACCCTATGAGACTTTATCAAAATAAATTTTACCCACAATGGAATGATACCCTGTTGATACTCCAACCTAAAACTGAGAGCTATTTTTATCACATGTGAGAGGAAGGTATCCTCTCTAACACGTTTCCATAGTTTTTATGCATTATTTCACACATATATATATATACATGTACCTGTATGTTTGAGTAAAGGAGTAACCAAATGCGTAAATTGTGCAATCTTAGCCCACTCGGTAGATACTGGATACCCGATTAAACTTAACCAAGCGTTCTCAGCTATTTACCGCGTTCCTAGTAATTTATCTAGAGGAGCTCCACTACGTTTTCTATCAGTAGCTGAAGCAGTTGCAATTAATACCAGAAGACCATCCCTCTGCATACAGAAGAAGTATGTTCAACCTCTATGTTTACCTTGGCCTACAATAAAGCCAACAAATCCTCCACTAACACTATAAATTCCTTTCACAATTTTCTTTTCTTTTCCTTCTTCTATTCCTCTGTTTCATTGACAAACGTTCATTTTCGACTTTTATGATTTCATGACCTTTCTTATGATTTTATTACCTTAGGTTTAAATAGTGCTTTTCTAACTTGTTATCATATTTACAAAATCCTGTTCATTCCACTTCATTATTATTATTTGACAATTATTCACCAATAGTGCTTTTAATTTTACACCATATCATCGTTATTATTTTGCAATCATTCTTATTGTCGTTATTTTCAACCTTGAACTTAAGTCTAGTTCACCCCATTCGTTGGTTTATTTTCATATTGTCTCACACACCCTGATTACACTCACTCTTGAAACCTGTATTTTCGGTTGACTATATATATATACATCATTAAATTAAATTACTTCATCTCATTTTGTCCCATGTTCTCATTAACCACGCATATTGAAAAACTACATGACTGTTGTTCCGTCCCATCTTATACTTGTTCCACAATACACTTTCTGATATGATTTTAATTTGCCTCTACTGACTGGCTATTAAATTAATGGATTTATAATTGTAGGGCCTGAAGAAGAATTTATTGAAAACAATTGTTCGTTCTAAATATTTTGTTCTGAATATATACTTTCCATACACAAAAGTGCCTCATTCACGTGATTGGAGCGTTCAAGGTCACTTGCTGATTGGTAGCTGGTGGTGCTTAAAGTTTAACTTTGCCTCAATTATAAAAAGCTACTTACTACTAAAATACCATCTTGTCTATTTGATATTATCATTCTGTCGTAAATGTAGAATGACGCATGTAGCTTTTTTTGTTTTACTAATATTTCTAATATACTTTTTTCATTCCGTCTTATTCTTTTTTTGAAGAGCGAGAATTCTGCAGTCGAAGAGACTGTTGTATTGACGAAGCAGTTGAAAGGTGAATTCCAAACGCCGATGGCAAAACAACAGTCTTCAAGAAGGTAAGACTGTACACGCCGAAAGTCTCTTGTTGAATATTATAGATATATTATTTTTGGTTATTTCCAACTACTGATTTAAGTATAAAACTTGACCACTGTGGAAGAGTATAACTCTAGTAGAGGTAAGATTTTATTTTGATAAACTGTCACACAGTGTTACACATTAATATTACCTGATGACGTTTCAGAACATTGCTCTCTCTCTAGTTTCTTGACACATATAAACTCACTAGTAGAGGGAATAAAATTCACATTTGAATCAGAAAATGAACAAGGAGAATTAGCTGTGATGTTAGATTGGAAAATAAAACGAATAGAAGAAGGCAAACTACACACTAGTGTTTATAGAAAACCAACGCATTCTGCTAATAGATACTTAGACTTTAATTCATCTCATCCGTTGACTGTTAAGGCAGGCTTAGTGAAATGTCTAACAAACCGAGCCATAGCACTAAGTAGCACAAGAAAAGACCTAAATGATGAAATAAAACAGACAGAAGAGGCGTAGGTGTTAAATAACTATCCTATAAAATTCATCAGGAAGATCGAAAAAGGCTAAAGTAAAAATAAAAATAATTGTGAAACTACTAATGATAACATAAATAAGAGAGAATATAAGTCATCTAATGAGACACTACGTAGGATTCTTAATAAAGCAGGAATTAGAGTGGCATTCAAACCTACAAATTCACTCAGATAGGACAAGCTCTGTAGGCTAAGGGAGGCGGTGGATCCAATTAGACAAAATAATATAATTTACAAAATACCCTGCAATGACTGTGAGGTAAACTACATAGGTCGCGGGTAATCAGACTGTCGGAACATAAGAATTTAGCTAAGGTAAGAATAGTTGACCTCGAGATGATAGGTGATTTAGAAAAAGGCTCAGCAATTGCACCACATGCATCAACACAAAACCACACAATAGGGTGGGAGAGGGTTGAGATTCTAAGAAGTATTCTATGCAAGTGGAGAGAGAAGATTGATTACTGAATCCTGCTTGCTTCATCGAGTCTACACCCAACACAACACATGCAACAGAAATGAATCAATGCAAATACCAGAAATATGGAAGATATTGTTACCACCAGTCAGTCAGTCAGTCAAATCACAGGAGGATAATAAATAATCTCAAAATTCGATTGCAATTCAATTCACGTACATCACAACATTCTAACAAGTTACTTATTATGACTGTAAAAACACTCGTCTTATTTCCCATCTAATTGTATTCGATTGATAACTCGCATATTATTATTTCTGAATGTACATTATGACATATTAATTTTTATTCAAATATCTAATCATCAATTTCACTCCTGTATATAAATGAAGGAAGAGAGTTGTGTGAGTGAGTGAGTGAGTGACTTGATATGATTATGAGTGGCAATAGTTTGTGCTCGAAACGTTGTCACATCAGTTAATAGTACTTACTGTATAACACTACACTGTATGACAACACTTTATCAAAATAAAATCTTCTCTATAACTGTTTGAAATTACTTAACTTTCCGGAAACACTCCGACTAAATCCATTTCTATCATATGCATTTATTTGTTTTGCATAATTTCTGTTTTATCTATACATTGTTACTCTTAGAAAACAAATCAGGTTCAGGTGAGTTAAATTTTATAAAATAAAAAAAAATCGGAAGCTAAAAGTCAACAATCCTCATCAAGTTGCACTCTGTCATGTCATTTCTCTGGCTAATAATTTATATTTTTATATAAATACATACATCAGTTAACTTTCACTATATTTTTTTCCATAGCCAGTCGACAAAAAGTTGACCCTCTGCATCATTTATCTATGTGTCATTTGAGATTGTATGTCAGTAGTTCAATTTTCAATTTAGATGGTAACTTTCATACCACTGAGAAAAACTATATTGAGATAACTATAATCTCTCCCAATTATTTATATAATGTAATTCACTCACGATGATGTTTCATCATTGTGAAATCAGATATTACACGAGCAGAAGTGATTGTAGGTAATGTGTAGTTATTCATATATGCGAAAAATAACTTGGGCGCTGTGCTAGTAAGTAATTCCATATTAGTTTGTTTATTAGATGTATCACACACAGTGAGTGAAACAGTATTACTGTTTACTGAATGACACAGTTTCGAACACAATTCATTATTGTTCATAATCATGTCATGGAAAAATATGGCGATTGAGACAGTATTATTTACTGGATGATAATAATAATAATAGAAATAATAATGGCGACATGCATGTCAAACATGTGCAAAACAACACCAACAATAAGGAATCTAAATCATCAGTAGTAATTCAATACAAGGAAGGAACCTCTGAAACCACGTTACGCAGAATTCGTAACAAGGCAGACAGGAATAAAAATGGCTGGCATTCAAACTAACCACAAACCCAGAAACAAGCTTCGTCGGTTAAACGATCAATTCTATGGGGCCATTAAAACAAAACAATTTAGTTTATCTAATCCCATGTCTGTAATGATTGTCAGGTCGAACATAGGTCAAACTAGTAGAACAGGTGCAGTCACTCAGACTAGCCGAGCATAAAAACCTAGCAAAATCTAGATTAGTTGACCCAAATAAGATAAGAAATTTTGAGAATAGTTCAGATATAGCGCTCACTACATGGAATTACACACAACATTACAGTAGGATGGATGGGATAAGATGACAGTTTTGAAATCTAATGTCACAGGGTGGAGGGGGGAGAGATTGATGTCAACGGAAGCTTTGTTTATCGAATCAACTGAAAACTCGTGTAATAGAAATGATTCAACACTATCCACCTAGATATCTGGAGAATTCGACAACCTCAATGACGACAAATAGGAGAGAACAAAGAAGACTATAAAACTCAAGTCTCGAAGTTCTGTGATTATAATTGATGACATGATTATGAACAATAAATTTTGTTTGACACTGTGTCGCCCAGTAAATAATACTGTTTCACTGTGTGATACATCTAATAAACGAACTAATATGGAATTACTTACGACCACAATGCGCAATGTGCGTCGGTGGCACAGTGGTTAGGACTCTCGCCGACCATGCACATGGTCCGGGGTTCGAGCCCACGCCGGTGCACACCTGATATCTATGGTCGGCCTGCAAAATTTGGGCTACCGATATCCATGCTGAAAATTCCGTACTTGTACCAAAAATACATTGTGGAATCAAGCTGTAAATCAAAAATAAAAAAAAATAAATAAAAAAATAAATTAAGTTTCACACATATATTAGAATTCATCAATACTAGTGTTGGATTGAGGAAAACGTTTTGAAAAAGTTAATCCTAATTAAAGGCATTGGTCTATATTTTTAAATGCTCATCTTGTTTCTTGCTTAGCACATCAAATCTGACGGAAACTAGTTGAAACAGCCTCTTCATCTTTAAAGATATAATTAGCTTTTTTCTATTTATATGCACAATGTAGATTCATTGCACTAAAAATATGTATCGCATTCCATATATATATATTCAAAGTATAAGTACTTTTTGTATAATACCTAGTGAGGTAAAATCTATATTTTTCCCCTTTTTCACACTTTGTAAGTGTCTATTAAAATACTCTGTTTTATGATATGTAAATAAGCTTTTGTATGTTCATTCACCTGCTAGCGCAAGATGAATCTAATCATCACTTCGCTGCTTCTGATCCATGCACTGATACGTGGCTGTTTGGCTTTAGAAATCTGAAAGAAGTGCAGAATAGATAATTCCATCTTTTTTTTCATACGAAATAAGCAGTTTACGCATTTTTTTTATTCCTTTACTCTCCAAGTGGAACATAGGTGGAGGCTTCAAGCTAGAGGATTGAAGTTTCGGTAGCGGCGGTGTTAATTATTTTTACTGGATGGTGTAGCTAGCTTCATGTCCAACCTTCCTTCTTCAGAAATCTTATTACTGGTTCAGCAAGGTAAAGGAATGCGTCGTCGGCCCGGATTGAGACCTGTACCACTTGAAGCGTGGTAGGGGTAAACATTCTACCTCTGTGCCATTGACGCAGCTTTTTTAAATATATATATATATATCCTTATATTGTAACGATAGAAGACAAGGGTCAGGCAACAGATCGTTTAAAAGTCAGTCTGAATGAAGAATATTCTTTTCAATAATTTCTCTTCAGTTCTTACAATTATAAAATATAATATTTGTTGTCGTTACAATAAAGACCAGTTGTGCGACGGAGACGTAGAATAACAGATTAGTAGTTATGGGGTGTCAAAATAAATAGTCGTGTTTGTCTGACAAACATCCGGCTAGGCTGAAATCGATTAAAAAATATTGTAAAATGGGAGACAATGGTGGTGATTTATCATAATAGAATTGTAGAGTGTAGGGTAGGAAAATTGACAAGTCACTTTAAGGTTATAAGAGGTGTCAGGTGGGTGAGTGGCTAGTACAAAGTGGTCTGTGTTAAACAGGAGATAGTAAGACTGCAATGAGAGGTGGTTCATATTGAAATAACGAATGTGTGAAATGAAACAGGTGGAGGCTTACACTGAGAAAAGAGATAATATCACTAATAATAAGTCCGGATAGTATAAATGAAATATTCGTTAGAATCGGAAGAATGCTTGCATGAAGGACATAAATAATGACGAATAATAATAATAATTGTAATAATAAAAATTGTAATAATAATATTTGTAATGATAAGTAAGGGAAAAAAACCAAGAGGGTTAAGAGGAAGGAGCACTAGTGGAGAGAAGAAGAATCATCAATCCAAGTTTGGCCACGGTAGAGACAGTGTCTGGACGTGTTCTTTTTGGATACAAAGTTCCAGTTTAGTCAATCTTATTGCAACAGCTTCAGCTATGTATGTATGTAGGAGACGTAAGCGAACTGTACGTGATAACGACTTCGGAATTCGGTATATAACCCTGAAAGTTGTGTTGACATCGATACGATGTCCAGTATCGATCAAGTGTAACAGGATCGAGCTTTTTATGCACTTAATTCCCCCCTCCCTGCTGAATCAAGCTGGTTAATGTTATCGAATCCGTAGACGAACCTGCCTAATCGTGCGCCCTATATATCAAATCTTATAACAGATCGTTTATTGAGAAAATCAAGAGATATTTATAGATTTTTATATACAGTATTATTCGTTATTATTAGCAGAGAAACAGCGTCTTCTGATTGGTTGTCTTCTTGCTGAAGGTTATTCTGTCATCTCTTTGTGGCCATTTCTTTGAAGGTCAGACGATATATCTGTGAATCGTATCAGCCGACGCAAAGTCTACTGTTATTGTTTGTTGGGTTATTCTTTGTTCGTGTTTTTTTTCTCCTGACCACGATATGGGACATAATGCGTTGACTACAATTTTGGCTATCAGACAGCTCTCACCACAGTACTAAGGAATAAATAGAATACTTAGTATGAAGACACGCATTCCTGCCCAACAAAATTAAGTGACATTATCAAATACTCCTAAACTTTTAAAAGCTTCAAAAGTTAAGCTTCATACGGTAGCTGAACCTTGTTACTGTGTCTTCTAAAATATCGTAGACAACTTCATCAGTTGCATTCAAAAAATGTCATTTTCAATTTTTATAACTTTCTGTTTTTCACTTCAGAGAATCAAATGCTTCTTTAGAGTCAAAAACCAATGCCGCCGCTATCGTGCCTAAAGAAAGAATTCAACCGATTAGAAGAAGGAAATCAGTTTTGAAATCGTCAACAAAAGTTGATTTAACCAATGATATTGACAAGTGTGAAGATTTAGAAGAGTTCAATTCAAAATTATTACCGGTCCGATTCAAGCACAATTTAATTTATACAATCAACTGTTGCAACAACAACAAAGACAACAACAAATGCAACTACTGAATTCATATGGTGGTTTTTTAAATCATGGAACATTTGTTGGTCCATATTTAGGTGGAATGGGACCAACAGTATATGAACCATTAGAACCAACATCACTACCTTTGACTGCCGCATTTTTAAATCAGAAATACAACGGTTCATTACTGCTGTTAAATAACATTTATCAGGGTAGTGGATTGAGTCGTGCAGCATACGCTAAACTTTATTCTGCAGGTTAGATATAGATGGTTTTGGTTTTTTTAAATACAGGAAATGAAATATTTCTTCATTATTGCAAAGATGAAATGGATGGTAGTTTATTATTATTATTGTATCCTTTAGTTCCTAGAGGAACATAGGGCTTCAGCTGAGCACCTCCATTGCCTTCGGTTTTCTGCCAACTTTTTCACCCTGCTCCAGGTCTGCCCACATGTTTTCATCTCCTCCTCACATGACCTCCTCCAAGTCACCCTTGCACAGACGACCAACTCGCCACCTCCCTTTCGGGTTCCACTCGAGCGATGGCTTGTCTAGTGATGTCACTTGATGGTTTCCTCAGAGTATGGCCAGCCAATCCATCTCCACTTCTTCCTGCCTATTTGTTTCACAATCGGTTCCTGATTGGTTCGCTCCCAGAGATCTCTAACTGTAGGTGATTTTTTCTGGCCATCTGATCTTGAGTATTGAGCGAGGACAGCTAGCTGTTAACGAAGGTCTGAAGTTTGTTTGAGATGCTCTTTATGAAGCGCCAAGTCTCTGATTCGTACAGTGAGTAGCACTGACTTCACATTGGAGTTGAAAATCAGGATGTTATTTTTGATGCTGAGTGCTGAGAATTGGTCTCCACACAGACTTGAGAGTAATGAAAGCTTGTCTTGCTTTCCCGTTTCTGGCTTTGATATCCTCGTCACTTTCGCCTGTAGTTGAAACGATGCTTCCCAGGTAGGTGAAGGAGGCTGTTTCTCTCAGGTTCTTCCCACTTATGCTGATTGTTGACTGTTGTTGTTGTTGCTGTTGATGTTGGCTAGGAATCTTCATCACCTCTGTTTTATCTATGTTCACTTGAAGTCCTATCTTTGATGCTTCTTCTGCCAACTTGTTACTTTTCACTTGCATATCTTCCAGTTTATGGGAAATCAGACATATATCATCGGCGAAATCCAGATCCTCCAAGTCTTTTGTGTGAGTCCATTTTATGCCTGTTCTCTCGTTGGTTGCCGTTGTCTGTTAGTTTAAATCAAGTTTTATTTAAAGTTAGATCATGGATAAAAATTAGTTGAAAATAGATGGAGGGAAGACCAGTAATTCTGTGAAGAGGCTCTTTTTGACGGCGAATTCATTTTCATAGCTGTACAGTCGCAGACATAGATGGTTGCTTTGTATGTGTGTGTGTACATTAAATTTGTCAAGCGAAAATACAATTAGTAAGTTCAGATGAGTCGGATGTTGATATAAAAGGATAGTAACAAAAGTGATGGGTTGTCACAAACGATTGTTAAAGAAGAGTTACATGATAACATGAATATTTTGATGAAACAGTTGTGCTCAGGGTGTACATGGAAACCAAAATAACATACAGAACTATGGAAGAGTTTTAAGTATTTAGAAAAATGAGCATACTAACAAATGTTAAGTTATTCCGTCTTTTGTTTCCATGTACACCCTGAACACAACTGTTTCATCAAACTCTTCACGCTATTACGCAGCTTTTTTTTTAACAGTCGTTTTTGACAACTCATCACTTTTGTTACTATCCTTTTATATCAACATCCAACTCATCTGAACTTACTAATTGTATTTTCATTTGACAAATTTAATGTACACACACAGAAATACAAAACAACCATATACGTTTACGATTGTACAGTCATGCAAATGAATTCGCTATCGAAAAGAGACTCTTCGCTGAACTACTGGTCTGTCTGTCTATTAATGGAAATTTTTTTCATGAATTAAAAAGATTGAATTTTCAAGGGATTCATGATGCGAAATCTCAAGAATCTGATGCAATATGCATCAGACAAAATTTCGCTAGAGGTCAAAGAGACACAAGAAACGAACACCTTACAGCCTCTCTCCATTCGATCAATAGGACAGCCAAGATTAGAATGTCGTCGGTTATACATCTCTCTCTCTCTATAAGCTATACAAATAGATGAAAAAAATTAACCTAAACGGTATTAAAATCATCCAGAAAAGTTTCAAAAATCACAAAGATTGTCTTATATTAAGTGGAATCCAACTTGTCTGAATAAGAATGACGTATGAAAACAGAATCTGATATGGTCCCAACACTCTCTCCGGCTCTCTCTTCGATGAAGTGACAAAACCAATACAAACACAATAAGTGATTTCATTGTTTAGAAACACATGCTATTTTTATAACTTTCCATATTTATAAAATCCAACAGTCTACACACGAATTGTCATCTCCACTGGTATATGCACGTTAAAGTGGTCCAACGCGACACCTTGTTTACTTGCTCTTGTGGAGCTGAGTACATCGGCCGTACCATGCGGCGACTTGAAAGACGCCCTCGTGAACACTATCCAGCCTGGCTAGTAAAATGAGATCGAAAACGTGTATATAGCTCAGTGACAGAACATCTGGTCAATTCAGTACATTCAGCGCCATTCGAAAAATCCTTCGAAATAATATACAAGATTCGAGGAAATATATGAAAGGGGATACAATTAAGACATCTGGGCATAGCCGAGGCACTAGCCACCCAAAAGCTCAAACCCACGCTATGTATCCAAAAGAAATACGTCCAACCCTTGACCCTGCCATGGCTATTATAAACAGGGAATTCTTCTAATGGTAACTATCCCACTGCCTTCCTTATCCAAACTTCCTGTTTATTCATGTTATTTTTAGGTTTTTCTTAATCCCTATTTACACTACCATATTTTCATATCCAAACTTCCTGTCTATTTTGTCATTTCATTATTTCTACATATTTAATCCCCAATCGCATAAACAATTATTCGTCACATTAGTTATGATCCCATTAGATCTTTTTATCCAAACATCCTGTGTATTTTTGTTATTTCTACATTTCTAACCCCTAATTGCAAAATATGTCAATCTTCTCAGTAATTATGATGCCACTTTGTTTGAGCTTTGTCCGTCTCGCCCCCTGTTTACCATGGCATTTTAATTCCTAATTACAATATTGTCAGTAGATAATCCAAAATTTTATTTATACACTTCCACGTATTAGCATTAATAAGGAATTGAACAGATGTAGTTCTAATGTGTGTTTTTCTCTCTTAAGGTTTTGAACCAATCCAAACAGAGAATGGTGATCCACCTTTTACAATCGATCCTCAAAATGATTCAATCAGTGATTTTGTCCTCAAGAAAGAAGAGCTGGATCCACTTAATCAGAATGAGATCATTTTTCAATTCCTTGCCTATTCTGGGTAAATTAGACTAACTTAATGTCAGCCTGCGTGTTTTTGAAGTGTTGGTTTGTAGGGATTTGATTGATTGGTTACAATATTTCATCATGAGTGCTGACATTGGTTACAGAACCATTGGAAAAACTGGGAGTACCGGTCCCAGTGGCTTTATGGTCTACGAGCTCCCCTTGTAACTAGAAAGTCCTGGGTTTGAATCCTGCTGGTGTGGGTGCGTACTGTGAAGAGTCCCAAACTAGGCTGACGAAACAGCTGTCCAGTAACCCCAGGTTTTCTTATAGTTCTCTGACCAATGTCACTTCATGATGAAATCCATATGTATTTTTCTATGCCTTTCAGTGATTTACCATTGTGTTTTCAAATAAATTTACTTTACTGCAAAGTATAATAATGTGTTTCGTCCTTGTTTGGGACTCTCCATCAGTACTCATCCACCACAGGAGTTCAAATCCATGACCTCGTTACAAGGCGAGCTCGTAGACCATTAGGCTACTGGGACCCACGGAATCCTTCGGAGTAAATATGGGAGTAGACAAGCTGGCTGCCTACTATCGCCAGTGATTTTCCTGATTGCAGTAGACTGGAAAATGCGGCTGACAGCGGAGGGAAGGAGGATCTAGACTTCACCGATGACATATATCTGATTTTACACAAGCTGGCAGATGTGCAAGTGAAAAGCAACAAGTTGGTAGAAGAAACATCCAGAGAAGATAAGACTTCCTCCAGATGAATATAAAGAAAATAGAGGTAGGTGATGAAGATTCCTGGCCAACATCGACAGCGATAGCAACAACAACATACAACAATCATTGAAAACATTTATTTCCCGATACGAATTTAAAACAAGCAATAAAGGTTAATAAAGCAGGATTTGATGAATTCATCAAATTTCGGTAGAACTCGTCAGCTGAATACTCTACATACACGGATATATATACTTTTGAAATTACATTGGGAGATATAAGACAGATAAGTAAACAAACTTGTTATCCTTAACACCACCAAGCGAGTGCTTCAACAATCTGGGAAAGACCAGTCGCCAATCCTCGACACTTCAAACTGCATATATCAATTTGAGTGTGTTTGTGGCAGCAAATACATAGGTCGTACGGAAAGGGGATTGTCTACTCGCATGATGGAGCATTTGTCAAAATGGTTGAAAACAGCTGAGTTCAAAGTGCCAAAATCCTCAATAACAAAACATCTTGTAGATTACGGACATGATATCGACGCAGTCAAGTCATTTACCATTGTCAGCAGACAAAGAAACAAGAAGATGCTTGCAATTGCAGAGACTTGTGCAATTCGAATTTATAAACCAGCTCTCTGTATACAAAAGGAGATGGTCGTGACTCTTAATCTACCATGGTAATACGTTTTATTCTCTACTTGTTATTATTCTACCTCTTCTTCTTACTATTATTGTTATTATTATTACCATTATTATTATTATTATTATTCTTGATTCATCTAAAACTATGCTTTATCAGTAAGATTATCTTAACTCACTTCAACACTATTAAAACTGTTATTATAACTATTACTATTGACATTACTCTGTTTGCAATTCTCCTTATATCCCCTAGTGACTAATTGTTTACCTAAGTGATGTAATTGAAGTGTAATGCAATTTATCTTAATTTTGATCTCTAATACTCTCTCTCCCCTTATCTATTTGAACATGACCTGGAAAACATTCGCACGTGTCTTTCTGCATGATTAATTCAATGTAGTTTGTTTATTTATCAGTCTTATATCTCCCTATGTAATTTCAAAAGTATATATATCCGTGTATGTAGAGTATTCAGGTGAGGAGATCTACCGAAATTTGATGAATTCATTAAATCCTGCTTTATTAACCTTTATTGCTTGTTTTAAATACAACAATCAGCCAGCATAAATGGGAGAAACATGGAAGAAGTAACCTCATTCAACTACCTACCTACCTACCGACATGGGAAGCATCATTTCAACTACAGGCGGACGGAACTGATGAGGATATCATATCAACGATCAAGAAAGCAAGGTAAGCTTTCATTACTCTCAATCTGTGTGCAGGTCAACACCACTGCTCAGCATGAAAAACAAAATTCGGATTTTCAACTGCAATGTGAAGTCAGTGCTACTTTGTGGACCAGAGACTTGGCGCGTCATGAAGAACAATTCGAACAAACTGCAGACCTTCATCAACATCTGTCTTCGCTTAATACTAGTCAAGATCAGAGGGCCAGCCAGAAAAGATCAGTAACGGGGATCTCTGGGAGCAAACCAACTTGAAACTGATTGTACAACAAATGGGCAGCAGGCAGGGGAGATGGATTGGCCATACCTTGAGAAAACAAACCATCAAGTGAGTGACATCACAATACAGACTCCCGAGTGGAACCCGAACGGGACGTGGCGAGTTGGTCATCGGTGCGAAAGTGGTGTGACATGGAAGAGGTGATGTGAAGAGGAGATGAAAGCATGTAGGCAGACGTCAAGCCAGGTGGAAAATTTAGTAGAGAACCGATCGCAATGGAGACGTGCGGCTGAAGCCCTGTGTTTCTCTATGAACTAAAGGAAACAATAATATTAATAATCCGCGTAATAAAAGACGTGTAACAGAGAGCAAGGATAACATTTGTTCATGATTTGCTCATTACTAAACTTGTTACTCCTTTTAGCAGTTTTCTACCAAATATGTGTATTCTGCTTTAAATCATCGAAAATATCCATTGAAGAGGGGTATGAAGAATATAAAAGGCAAATTTAGGGAAGAAAATTCTCTTTTCATTATCGACGAAATCATCTTCACAGGCTGCCGTACAGTCGTATTTATACTTACCAAAAATGTATAGTAGTCTATTATTGAGTACTAGAGGGTAACATAATTGATATAGATATTATAGAGAAGAAGACCATGTAACAATTACTCAGCAACGACGAACACCTCCCACAAAAATCAAAAATGCAGCACACAAGCTGGATGGAATACACAAACCTATGCCCAACAATGTACTTCCAATTCAACGGCCAAATATATGAACAAATCAAGGGAACACTCATGGGATCGCCAATATCAGGTTTTATTGCAGAAGCAGTGATGCAAAGGCTTGGAAACATAGTCCTAACAAAGATCAAACCAAAAATTTGGATACGTTACTTAGACGACACATTTGTAATAATCAAAAGAAACGAGTTAGATAAAACTCACAACTTATTAAACAAAATCTTCAACGACATCAAATTCACAAGAGAAGAGGAATCTGATAACCAAATCCCATTTTTGGACGTCTTGGTCAAGCGAAAAACCACGGGAGAATTAGAAACTGAAGTTTATAGGAAATCAACTCACACAGACCAAATACTAGCTCAGTTACAACAGCAACAATACAATAACACACAAAAAGAATTGTATACAAACACTATTCAAGAGGGTAGGCCAGGACTCATTGCAGCACTTTCAGCTTAAAGAAAAGTTGAAGAAAGATATCTCATGGACGTCTTCCAAAATAATGGATGTCCATGGAACTTCATCGAAAGACATAAACCCACAAGCTAGCCTATCAAACCAAAAGCCCCAAGGAAAGCACAGTGAAAGTCGCCCTACCTTATATAAAGGATATCTCAGAATTCACTGAAAGAATTTTCAAACCCTTAGGAATTGACGTCGTACATAAACCGACAAAGTCACTTCACTCAGCTGGCTAGCTCTGTGACAATCAGAAGACTCAACAACGAGATAAAACCAACATCATCTACAAAATAAATTGTAACAACTGCGAAAAACACTAAATTGGCCAAAATGAAGGTCCCCTTCGTCTTTGTATACACGAACATAAGTTAGCCGTCAAAACACATGACATCTACACCATTACTCATATCACTCCATACAGACAACCACGGACATCAATTCGACTGAGACAACCAACGTTCATATATTAGACAGAGGAAACACCAAGAATGATAGAGAATTTTTAGAAGTCTGCTTGGTATTCCAGTGAATCATCAAACGATAAACAGATCGAGGTAGACAAAATTTCTAACCGATAAGAAAGAAGTCTCACACACAGAAGGCCAAATTTCAATTCAAGGAAACAATCAGTTGGAATACAAGTAGCTGCCTAGATGGCATGAAACACACACAACAGGTCACCAGGAGAGATGATTAATAAACTCCTGCAGAAATCTAAAAGCTCAGTTCGAATTGATGTATGCGTTGAAGATGTCGCCTAGTAGAGGGTGATGAAAGCTTCACAAATCAACTATCCAGCTAAGGGAACACAACCATATCAAAAACTTTTTATAAATTTTTTATTCGATATTCTTATCTAATGTTCGACTAAATGATTGATAACCGCTTAACAGATACTATGAATATAGAGAAAATATTCATTCATCAGTTTTGAAAAAAGAATAATTGAGCAAAGAATATTATTTTCTACAATTGCCTTTTCTGGCTCTACATTTATATACATTGTTATGTTGCTGCTGCTGAGTGGTTAATAGTAGTTTTCCACGTCGACAAATTGTTATGTACTCGTCGCTAAATTATTGTTATGGACTGGTCGAGAAACTAATAGTCCTGACGCAAGAAGGCGGAAATCAGAAGACTACTAGGTTTGCGATGATACTTCTATTTCCAAACACAAGGAGAATGCAAAAGCAGTATCACACCAAAGTGAGTAAGTTTGTAAGTCCCACAAATTGTGAATGTGAAATATATATGAATATTCCAGATAAAGTGTGTGAATAAATCATTAGACAGCCTTAACATGAATGGCTAATTATGATGAAGTATCGATCCATATATACATAGCAAAATATAGCAGACATGTCAACAACCACCATATATGGATATATGTCACCAAGCAACGGACTGTCAACAAACACTCATATTATATATAATATAAGGAGAATATACATTGTTAAAGGAGACAAGTTCATACAAGTGAAATGGTCACAGACTAAGCGAGAAAACAGAAAAAGAGACCAACATACACACACACATAAATATATATATGTGGATACATATCATATATATATATATGATACATCGAATATTCTAGAATAGTCGTCATTAACAATATTGGTGTTTTTAAATTCTATCTATTTGTTAAGTATAATCCATGGTATCACAGGTCATGAAAGTTGCATAAATTATAATTAGCATAAAATTGTAATAGTAAATAAACGACAAAGATTAGCGCTGCGAATAGATTTTGTTTGTCCTTTAGTTAACCACTATGCAGGATGATGTTCGGAAATCCGATGTTAAACACGCCTAATTGTATGGCCTATGTAACTAACTGGCTCCACAGGAGCAGTTAAATTGGTAGGTACATATAGCAGAGGCTTTATGATATTATTAAGCTTAATAGACTGTCGTCAGAACGTCACTTAGTCAGTGGTAAAATATTTTATTTTTAATGAACAAGTTTCATGTTAAAATTGTCTTGGAATTCACTAATTAACTCACTGGGTTTTATGTGTGATTGCGTAATTGAGAATTTTATCTCTAAGAATCAGATTCACCAGACTCTTCTAAATGATTCCTTCACCTTCTCAGTGGAACATTGGGCAGCCTCAAGCTAGAGGCTTGAAGTTTCTGAAGCAGTGTTGACTATTTTTACAGGATGAGGTTGCTGTTAGCCTCATGCCCGATCTCTCCTCTTGACCAGCTTTGATGAAAACTGGCTTAGCGAGGTAAAAGGGTGCATCGGTGACCGGAGATCGAAACCCTGACCACGTGCATGGTCGGTGAGCGTCCCAACCTCTGTGCCACCGAAGCACTTTTCTAGCCAAAGTATAATATAATTCTCCGCATTAGCTGAATAAATTAAATTGCTTGTCATGTGATTAGAAACACACTATGTCTCGAACCCATGCAGCCAGGTGAGGGCTTATGGCGAGTTGTCATCTGAAGTGGTGACGACTAGTGGTGTCCGTCAGGGATGGCCATTATCCCCATTTCTATTCAATTTCATCATACATGTACTAATGCACTTAACCCTAACTGACTTCAGTGACTCAGGGATTGACTTGTTACCAGCGAATAATCTCGTTGACTTAGAATATGCGGATGATACAATCATCTCTCCTAGGTGAAGACGCTGAGAAAATAGAGCAGAGTCCTTTGAACGCCTTGAGCTGCAATCTACTAATGTTTGGCATGCGATTCGCTCCCTCTACCAAGTGTCAGATGATGTTGCAAGACTGGACTGGACTACATTGACTCCTGGCTTAAAAATAGGGAGTGAAGTGGTAGAGCACGTTGACCACTTCACTTATTTGGGAAGTCTCATCAGTCAGCGCCAATGAATTGATGGCTGACTACATCGCTACTACAGCACAGATACAGAAAGCTAGTTTCCCATATGCCAGTTTATGCCGTCTCTGGCGTAGACGTCATATCCGGCTGGCTGTCGACCAAACGGCTCCTCTCCATCCTCCTTTGTGGTTGTGAGCGATACCTGGCCATTGAGAGTGGAGGACACGAAAAGACCAGCTAGTTGTCTTTGATCATAGGTGCCTGTGTTCTATCTCCCGTGTGAAGCGGTATAATAGGGTGAGCAATATTGAGGTTAGGCTTCGACCGAATGCTGGGTAAGGAGGGGAAATCAATCGACGAAGCTGTGAAGCTACACCGACATGTGTAACGTGTGCTTAGTCATCACCTTCGTCGACGGGCAATGTTAGATGAAAAGTGCTAGTGGCGGTCAGACCAAAACATGGCTTGATCTGTCAGTGAAATCCTTAACAGTTATTTAAGCCACGTGGGAAGGTGTAGACTTCGTGACTGGTTGGGGTCCTTGAGACTGTAAAAACAAATGAAAGCTAGAGACAATTTGTGATATGGCTCAATCTCATCGTTTTCAATGACAACGCAGATGCACCCACTTCTTTTGACTTGTAGTTTCTAATGAAACTATATTGTTCTTCGTTATTACTATTCCTGTCTACTGTCTCTATTATGCATTTCTTCTACTTTCTTCTCTTGGTTTTGTGTGGTACATGAAGGGAGTGTGGCGACTTGAACTGCTGAACATCGGTGAAAAGTTCTATGTCGAAAACAGACAGGCAGACATGTCTTTTAGCGTATAAAGAACAATTCCTTGAACCTGTTTTTTGTATGTCTTAAGAGAAACTACCAGACTTTTTGTTGTTCAACTGAGAATTTTATCATTCGGTGGCTTATTTCAACGTTGTATTCTACTACTCTTCCTCCTACTTTTACAGATTCGAATCGAGTGAGGCACTGACAACTGATGTACCTGAACAAATCTACTTCACATTTCAATTTTATCGTTTCCCACAGGTTAAAACGCCAACGTGAGTCTTTCCTTTATCATTGTGGTTTTGTGTACGCATGTGATAGTACTTGTCGTTTTTTCAGCTTTAGTTAAATTTTTTTCATCCAAACATTAGCATAAATCTTCTTGCTTTTTCATAAGAAAATAGTTTGAAAAATGCTGCTTATTTTGCTTTCATGATATCTGATATCATAAATCAATAAGTGATATTGATTATTTCATACATTTATTATTCCCCTTAATGAATTTGAATAAAGCAAGAACTACAGCTTTTGCAGAATAAAGTGATACCATCTTTTTTCGTTGCCTTCTCGTCAGTTGCTTACATGCCAAAGTGATTATTAAGTATATCTACAAAAACAATTTTAACATATGTGCACAAAGTTCACCTCAAAAAAATCAATCGATCAATATTTGCATACAGTAATTATATATATATATATATATATTATTTATTATTATTATATCCTTTAATTCCTAGAGGAACATAGGACCTCAGCTGCGCGTCTCCATTACCTTCGATTTTCTGCCAACTTCTTCACTCCGCTCCAAGTCTGCCCACATGCTTTCATCTCCTCCTCACATGACCTCCTCCAAGTCACCCTCACACTGACGACTAACTCGCCTCTTCCCTTTCGGGTTCCACTCGAGCGATGGCTTGTCTAGTGATGTCACTTGATAGTTTCCTCAGAGTATGGCCAGCCAATCCATCTCCACTTCTTCCTGCCTATTTGTTTCACAATCGGTTCCTGATTGGTTCGCTCCCAGAGATCTCTACCTGTAGGTGATCTTTTCTGGCCGGCCATCTGATTTTGAGTATTGAGCGAAGACAGCTGTTAATGAAGGTCTGAAGTTTGTTTGAGATGCTCTTTATGACTCGCCATGTCTCTAATCCGTACAGTGAGTAGCACTGACTTCACATTGGAGTTGAAAATCTGGAAGTTATTTTTGATGCTGAGTGCTGTTGACCTCCACACAGACTTGAGAGTAATGAAAGCTTGTCTTGCTTTCCCGTTTCTGGCTTTGATATCCTCGTCACTTTCGTCAGCCTGTAGTTGAGACGATGCTTCCCAGGTAGGTGGAGGAGGTTGTTTCTTTCAGGTTCTTCCCATTTATGCTGGCTGATTGTTGTCTGTTGTTGTTGTTGTTGTTGATGTTGGCTAGGAATCTTCATCATCTCTGTTTTATCTATGTTCACGTGAAGTCCTATCTTTGATGCTTCTTCTGCCAACTTGTTGCTTTTCATTTGCATATCTTCTAGTTTGTGGGAAATCAGAAATATATCATCGGCGAAGTCCAGATCCTCCAACTTTTTTGTATGAGTCCATTTTATGCCTGTTTCCTCATTGCCCGCTGTCTGTCGCATTATCCAATCTACTGCAATCGGGAAAGTCATTAGCGATAGTAGGCAGCCACCCTTGTCTTACTTCCGTCTTCACTTCTAATGATTCCGTAAGTTTTCCATTGTGGATTACTTGGCGGTATACAGCATTGTCGTATAACTATTGGATGAGATGTATAATTGTCGACGGCACCCTTTGGAAGTAGCGAAGTAATTGCCAGATCATCTCTCGATCGACGATGTCGAAGGCCTTTTCAAAGTTGATGAAGTTGAGATAGAGAGGTGACTGCTATTCCAAGCTTTGTTCAATGGTGATCCGTAGAGTGGGGATTTGATCAATACATGATTTGTTTCTCCTGAACCCATAAAGTATATCTACAGAAACAGTTCTAACATACTTACACAAAGGTCATTTTAAACGAAAATCAGTCGATCAATATCTGCATACAGTAATAATATGTAATATTAAACACTATTCCGAAAATTATGATCATACACAATGGAAACCTCCTTCATTATATATTCAGATGAAAGAGTGATGAAAATATCCAGTTACAAGGTTGGCGAAGAAAGGCTGATAACTGCTTCTTTCTAGACGCATATATCAGGTTTCAGGCGCTTGATTTAGATAGCTTCAGCAAACTTCAGGAGAATTGAACTCTTTTGCCTTTTGATAATTTTGAACGATTTTAAGATGTCCATTGATGACCCGTGTCGAGGGGATGCCTGGTGGTACCACTGTTTAAAGCATTTGTTCCCTTTAAACATAAGCTTTTTGGTATATGTTCAGAAAATCGTAGATATGCCCTTCTTCTTTCTGTCCTTCCAATATAATTGGTCCCGCAGAATGTTCCACTTCCTCGACATTGCCATGGAATGCCTAGGAGACGGTAGTCTTCAGAGGTCAATTTATCTAAAGCCTTCTTGGAAAGCCCAATACTTACATTTTAATATTTTTTGTCCAAATGGCTTTAAACACGCTGAGCATGTACCAAAACGTTTATGTCTCAAGGGAACAAATGCTTTAAACAGTGCCATCACCAGGCATCTCTTTGACAAACCAAACTATAGAAAATTAAACTAATACTCACCAGTGACTTGCTATAGCATGGAGTTTCCTGGAGTCCTAGTGGAAGTCGTGACCAGTGAGGTCCATCCAGAAGTCACGTGTGGGGATGGATTTCCCACCGACGACGCTCGTTGGGGTCGCCCTAAATTACGAACTAGTAGAAGTTAGAATTCATGGGCTGACCACTGAATTAGGTCCGAGTGGCTGAATGATATACGAGCTGGCCTTGAAACCGGAAGGTCCTAGGTTCACGCACTGGCGGTGGTTGGTTACTGCCTTTGATTCCTCAACTTGTCTGATGAAACAGCTGTCCATTACTCCCTGGATTGTTTTCAAGGGTTCTCTAACTGATATCAATCCGTGATCAACTCGTAAAAACAAAACTAACCCTTACAAACCAAAATGTAGAAAACTGGCGTAAGTTGCTGTCTACCAATTTTGGCTATCAGACAGCTCTCACCACAATAGTATTTTAAGACTGCGATTCATGGCCACGTTAGTATGAACCAAAATGTCATCTCCTCTAAGATAAGTAGATTGTATCTCAGATGGGTGTTCGATAAGTTTCACTGCAAACCGAAGTGTTCCGAACCAGGTTTACAATGATTCTTTGACCTATCTATGTTTTTGGCCGAATAGAAATTCCTAGATACATGAAATTCGCAAAACATCTTTTTTGCGTTAGCATTCTAGTTGATTTTCTTTGTGTTTTTTTATTATTTTTGTTTTGTTTTGATCATATTTATTAAAATATTCTAAGAAAATATTTAAAATACTCATAGATTCTTTGATCGGACACTAGGTAGTTGGTATCTAGTGTTGTACGTGTCTAGTCCTTTGTTTGGTCAAGACTGAAGTTTACAATGTGGTCACCAACAAGCCTACGTTGTTCGTCATCATGGTTCACTCTGGACTGTTGCTATCTCAGAATGCATATGAGTATTCCTTCAAGACTGTAGGTACACCTTGATGGCGGATGCTAACAATCGTGAAACCTAGGTCCGACGATTCCTGCCGATTGCCTTCAACCATATAATAACAACTATACTCATGAATTATTTATATAATTGCATCTTTTGTAATGGTTGGCTAGGTAACATTTTGATCAAAATTACTGCCCGTGATCATCACACCAACTACTGGAATTGTTTCTTTTTAAAAATTCCTAAATATATTTAGTAGTTTTCGTGGATGGTGTTTAGCGATGTAAGAATCTGGAATGTGGATTTCGTCCTAACTTTAGGACTCGTAATCTCTGTGTTCCTGCATCCTCCCAGTAAGTAGGCAATGGTTGTTCCCGATGAAACTTGAACCCAGTACCCGTCGTTTGAAATGGCGAAGCGTTACCAGACCACATAAGCTATGAGAGGCAGTCGGGTGGATAGCAATTTGACGTTTGAAAAGCTGGGTACTGGGTTGCAGCCTTACTGGGAATACCATCACTCACGGGGGAACGTAGGCGATTCCAGATGACGAGTCTCACGGCTAGGACGAAATGTACATCCTAGATTCCATGTTTGTTGAATCAAGGATAAGCAAAATAAAAATTGAATTAAAAACAAATAATGTAGTGACTTTATCTTATGATTGCATCGGTAGTTCAGTGATAAGAATAATCATCAGACACGCTTCACGTAGTCTAGGATACTATCTCCGGCCGACTCACTGACTGACAAGCCTCACCCAACGGGCGGCACAGTGGTTAAGACTCTCGCCGACCATGCACATGGCCCGAGGTTCGATCCCCTGCCACTGACGCACACCTGATATCTATGGTTGACCTACAAAATTTGGGCTACCGATATCACATGCTGAAAATTCCATACTTGTGCCATAAATACAGTGTGGAATCAAGCTGTAGTAAAAAAAGTTCTTTAGCTGCTGCATACCGTGTTTTTTAGAAAAAAACTTGCAGTCTTTATATGTGTTACAATGCTATTCAGCACACTATATAACGTAATTTGAAAAATCCAATCAATGAAACTTCTCATTTACTGAAGAAAAAATATTCTTTAACATCCAACTTACAATTACTTTGTTTCCCTATAATTTCCAGCTTATTCATTCAACAGTCCTCTGAAGATTCGCTTAATTCGGATGGCACTACATTCAGAATAATATGGAAGACAAAACTTCAAGCCGAAAAGTTATCACTTGGTGAAATTAAATCGCAGTCGACTTTAAACAAAGCTGAGAGCAGAACGCCAGGCTATAAGGTAATTTGCCGTTTGTAACATTTTAATGGCCACTCAGTTGTCCATTGTTTTGAGATTGGTGTATTATTATTATCATTGTTCCCTTGGGTTCCTAGTGGAACATAGGGCTTCAACTGCACATCTCCACTTGCCACTTCTGTCTTCTGCTGTACTTTTCACCTGCATCCATGTTAGTTAGTCCATACTGTTTCAACTCCTCTTCACACGATCTCCTCCATGTCACCCTTGCACTGACGTCCCACTCGCCGCTTCCCTTTCAGGTTCCACTCGAGCAATGGCCTGACGCGCACGCGATGTCACCCAGTGGCCTCCTCAGCTAGTGTCCAATCCATCTCCACTTTCTCCTGCATATTTTTGTTGGGTGATTGGTTCTTGTTTTGTTTGTTTGTTCCCATGGTTTCTTGTTGGTGATTCTTTTCGGCCCGGCCACCTGATCTTCAGTATAGATCCAGCGAAGACAGTTGTTTATAAGATAAGGGTCTGCAACAGGCTGTTGGAAATATTCTTTGTGACCCGCCTGCCAAGTTTCTGATCCGCATAGAAGAGCTGACTGACTTGACGTTTTTATTGAAAATCTGACTGAATTTTGTTGTTGATGGTGAGTGATGAAGATTTCCAGATTGGTTTCAGGTTGATGAGTGAATGTGTTTCTCGCCTTCCCGATTGTCGCTCGATTTGACATCCTCGTCCGTTCCGACTGCCTGTAGTTGAGACAATGCTCCCTATATAAGTGAATGAATGAAGTAACCTCTTTCAAATCCCTCCATTGATGGTAATTGACGCTGAATGTTGCTACCGTTGCTGTTGTTGGTTGGTTGGTTATTTTCATCACCTCCGTCTTGTCTATGTTGACCTGGAGTCCTATCTTCACTGTCTGCTTCTTCGACCAGTTTATCGGTTTTCGCTTGTAAGTCTTCGAAATAAATCCACACACGAAATCCAGGTCTTCTAGGTTCTTCGCGTCAGTCCAGGATATCCCTGTCCCGCTTCTCGTTTCCCACTCACTGTCTGACGCATAATCCAGTCAGTCCACCACAATTAGGAATATCATTGGTGAACAACCATTAATCAGCGAAATATACGCAGATTACTATGTGCATTCCGAAGGGGACGTTCAAAATTATGTATTGTAACATTTCATTTTATTTATTGCAAGTTATAAGGGGAAAACATTTAGAAGAAAACGACTGTAAGACTGAAAATGTTGAAATATATGTCAGTTAAACTAATTAATGGATGACATATCTACCAGAAAAACCATAACATAAACTGATTAAAAATGCCCATTAAAATGCTTAATGTTAGAAATGGACATCCATTAGATAAAAATTGAAAATCAATAAGTTCAAGAATTAGTTTATGACTGTTTGTTAGTATACACCACGTCTAAATGGAACCAAACGTGAGGACATAATAATATGTGTAGAAAACATGGGCACTGTACTAGTAAGTAATTCCATATTAGTTTGTTTGTTAGATGAATAGATCACACAGTGATGAAACAGTATTACTGTTTACTGGATGACACAGTTTCGAACACAATTCATTATTATTCATATTTATCGTCGTTGGGGTAGTAGAATTTTCTAGATATCCAACTGGACAGGTGTTGAATCATTCCTATTACACGTATTTGCAGTTGATTCGATAAGTAAAGCCTCCGATATCAGTCTCTCCGTCCACCATGCAATTACAGTAGATTTTAAAACTGTCATCCTATCCCATCCATTCTATTGTATGGTTGTATGTGATTGCATGTGATGAGTGTTATAGCTGAATAATATAGTTCAAATTATTCCTCCAGATTTCTTATCTTATTCACGTCAACTAATCTAGATTTCTCTAGGTTTGTCACGCTCGACTAGTCTAACTCTCCCTGTTCTACTACTCTAACCTATGTATTTGACCTGACAATCATTGCAGGCAGGGTATTAGACAAACTAAATTGTTTTGTTTGATCGCCTCTGCAGGATTGATCCTTTAACTGACATAGCTTGTTTCTAATTGAGTTTGTGGGTGGTTTGAATACCAGCCACTTTAATTCCTGCCTGCCTTGCTAAGAATTCTGCGTAAAGTGGTTTCCGAGGTTCCTTCCTTGTATGGAATTACTACTGATGATTTAGATTCCTTATTGTTGGTGTTGTCATTAACCTGAGCTTGTTTGACATGCATGTCGTCATTAATATTATTATTATCATTATATCACTATCACTACTATCATTGTTTATTTTATTTTTACATTTTCCTTACATACTTCCTGATTGATTTATCAGGGTAATTATTAAGTTTGAAAGCTTCTCTTATATGTATCACTTCCTATCTTGAATTTTCCTTGGTACTACTTAGCTTTTGTGCTCTATCACTTAAACATTTCACCAATCCTATTTTCACTGACATAGATTGGGTGGGATGATCGGAAGTTCAAATATCTGTTTGAATCTGTGTGTTTCCCACCTTCTTTCCTCTTTACGGTGCAATCTAACATTGGAAGTTCCCCTTCCTGACTTTCCAATTCATAAGTGAATTGAATTGCCTCCACCTTTGAGTTGATGTGTTTGGAAACTCTATCTGTATCTTGTGTTCTAAGTACTGTGAACGTGTCGTCTACATACCTCCAACATACTTTTGGGTGGGTGGGGCTGAACGTTTCAATCGGTATGTTTTCCCACCTATCCATGAATATATCTGCCACAACTGGGATATTGTTGACCCCATGATAACTCCCTCAGTTTGTTTGTATACTTACACTTGGAATTTAAATACTATGGAAGCCAGGTATAGCTGCACTCCCAGAATTATGTCCTCATGTGGCACTTTTGTCCTAAGTTCGAGTTCTTGGTCAGAAATGAGTTCGTTTCTGACTGCCTCTATAGCGATATTTATTGGTATACGTGTATAGAAACTCACAATGTCAAAACTAACATTTTTTCTTCATTATCTAATTTTAAATTATCTTATCTGTGTTTTACTTCATAAGAATTTGTTAGTCTAGATTTTGAGTAACTTTTAAGAGGTCTTTGGTTGGTTCGTCATACAACAGAGATCCTTGTAAGCTAATCATTTTTGGTCATCCGATCTTCATTATGGAGTCAGCTGTTCATCAAAAGTTGACAGTGAGATCACTGGATACGACACAAACATGTGGTCATGAAATGATTGTTCTTTTATTAATGTCTACTCATGGCGAAAATGTATCAGCGAGATACTGACACATCGCCTAAAAAATGCGGTAAAAAAAGCATTCGCTGCTGCTGAATTACGCTGTGTCTTCAAAACCACTCCTCTTTTGCGTTCAGGAATAAAAGATAAACTGCTTAATTTCGCCTCTTCCATCTGTATCTACTAATTTAGCTGCTTCTGTGGAGTGAGCCAGTTACTTGCATAGGCCGCACAATTAGGCGTGTTTCTCGTCGAATTTTCGAACATCGCCCTGCGTGTTTAAGTGAAGGATAAACCAAATCTATTCGCAGCGCTATTCTCTCTCATCTTGTGGATTCAGAAAACAATATTGACGTTAACCAGGCGGCTTTCAGATTCATTTACCGCATACCAACAAATCTCAATTTCAATCATTAAATATTGCTGAGGCTGACTGTTGGTAATCACATCGAGAAGCCTAGTCTGTGCATCCAAAAGAAGCTAGTTCAGTCATTATCATTACCTTGGCCATCCAGGTTTGAATGATCCTGAATTTTGTCGAATTTTCCTAATTTTAGTTGATATTCTATTTCTCGGAAAATACCCATTTATTCATAAGTAAAAACACAGTTTTTTGTTCAGCGAAGAAATTTCTTTTCAACGACTTCATTTTCAAGCTGTACAGTCGGTATTTATATTACAGAAAAAGGTTATTAAGTGGATCGATTCGATTTTGCCATGTGGATAACTTTGAAAGATGAATCACGTGGGGCTAAATGACCAGACTCTAACAGGTGATCACAAATAGACGACTTTGCAGTTCAGAACGTAGAACTGCAAAGTCGTCTATTTGTGATCACCTGTTAGAGTCTGGTCATTTAGCCCCACGTGATTCATCTTTCAAAGTTATCCACATGGCAAAATCGAATCGATCCACCTAATAACCTTTTTCTGTAATATAAATACCGACTGTACACCTTGAAAATGAAGTCGTTGAAAAGAAATTTCTTCGCTGAACAAAAACTGTGATATTCTATTTGCTACTATATCTTTATTATTATTATTATATTATTATTATTATTATTATAATTTAAGTATCTTCAATGAACTGTGGTAATTTCATCGTGATACTACTTGACAAATTTATATTATTTAAAAAACGCGCCGATATTGTTATTGATAACTAATCCGAAATGTACACAAAACCTCTCTAATCCTCAATGATAACTAATCCAGAATATTCTATGTATATAAACATGCATATATGTAATTGTAGAGCCAGAAGAGGAGGAAGTTATCGAAAGGGGGATATTCATTGCTCACATTTATTTTGTGTTTTATACATCATTTGTCAGGTTATTTTTCTTATCGATTCCACTTATTTCAAACCTGGAGAAACTGAGTTATTTTTCAATTATTTACTTCGAGCAAATATGCAAATTGATGTATGGAATGCAAAGTCTCATATACTGATTGGAACATGTATAGTTGAGTTGAAAGTGAGTTTTTTTTAACCAAAAAAAGTTTTTTCAGTTTCTAAACCATAGATGTTGTTGCAAGCGTTTTGGAATAATTTGATTTCCAAGTCAGTGTGAATCATTATAAATTGTTCTTTGGTGACACAGGGTTTGGGACGCACATATTCTGAGGTTCGTCACCCCAGCCACCGACGCACACCTGTTTTTCGGATTGTTTCGGATTGTGAGGGCGATTGTTACTTCCCGGCTGCCCACACCGTGGAAGTTGGTTGCGTGACCGCAGAGCCCAGGGGACAACTGCTTGAGGCCGGTCACACGCGGCCTGTTTTTGTTCGTTCTCTTTTTTTTGGTGTGTCTCAGTAGCATACTTATCACTCCTGCCCTGTGACATGGCAGCAGGAAGCGCGGTCGTTGTTAATCCGGGCCACGGCCGATCCGGCATGAAATTTTGTGATTTTGTATTGATCATGATGTTGGATTGGGTAGCTGCTTTTTGTTTAACCGCTATCCAAACAACCTTTCTGGCATGGTAAGACCTCAAGAGACATAAGTCTCAGCCAGTATAGCTTGAATAGATCATTGCGGTGTTCAAGCCCGACCACCACGTCAAGGTAGCAGCTTTCGGTCGGACGCACACCTGATATCAATTGGTCGGGCTGCAAAATTTGGCTACTGATATCACACGCTGAAAATTCCATACTTTTGCCAATAATACGATGTGGAATTAAGCTATAGTCTAGAAAGTCAAAAAAGAAATTATCCCAGGGTGTTTAAAAAAATATCGAAACAAGATCTGTTTTCTGAACATTTCACTGTGTAAGCCACCACCACCACAGCTTCTTCGGCAGGATTATTTGGATTTTATTAATCATTAGATATATAATCATAAATTTTATATAAACTGCATTCCCTTTGAAGGCCACTTGTCGGTAGACACTTGTATCAATAGAAAAGTGTAAACAAGCATCAAATATTTGTAATGATTAATGTCAGATTGTCATTATGTAGGTTTTTGTCTGTATGAATGTTGATGAGTGTATGTTATTTATCGTATGGAAAACATGTCAATTCACATGTATGATAAACATGATAATATTTTTATAAAGGTCACTGAGGTTCATAGAGTTTTATTTTTTTCTCGTCTGTCTTGATCCGTTGGAGTTTGTCGCAGAGGTGATAAGTCTATCGTTTGACTTCATTCGATTCGTTAATATTTGTGTAAAACTTGGGCACTGTGTTAGTAAGTAATTCCATATTAGTTTTTACGACTTAATCACGGATTGATATCAGTTAGAGAACCATCGAAAACCAACCAGGGAGTACTGGACAGCTGTTGTTTCATCCTAGTTTGGGAATCATCGTCAGTAACCACCCACCACCATGGCGTGAACCCCAGAACCTTCGGGTTACCAAGGCAAGCTAGCTCGTATATCTCATTCAGCCACTGGGACCCAATTCAATGGCCAGTACATGAATTCTAACTTCTACCAATTCATGGTTTAGCGCGACTACCAACTAATGTCATCGGTGGGAAATCCATCCACACACTTGATTGGCTAGACCCCGCTGGTCACAACTTCTCACCAGGACTCCAGGAAACTCCATGCCATAGCAAGTAACTGGTGAGCATCAGTTTAATTTTCTGTAGTTTGGTTTGTAAGGATTAGTGATGCTTTTACGAAGTTGACCACCTGGGTTCGAATCGCAGTGGGTGCGTACTGCCGATGATTGCCAAACTAGAATGAAACAGCTGTTCATTATTGTTCATAATCATTCTATCAGTTATAATCACATAACTTGGAAATGTGTGTAATGTTATATATATGTGCGTCGGTGGCAAAGTGATTAGGACTCTTGCCAACCATGAAAATGGTCCAGAGTTCAATCATTTGCCGAAGCACACCTGATATCTTTGGTCGGCTTGCAAAATTTGGGCTACCGATATCAAATGCTGAAAATTCCATGCCTGTACCAAAAAATACGGTGTGGAATCAAGCTGAAATCAAGATCAAAATAATCTTCTTTGTTCTCTCCTATTTGTAGTAGTGGAGAAGACAAAGAAAACTATAAAACCCAAGTTTCAAAGTCGTGTGATTATAAGTGATGGAAGGATTATGAACAATAATGAATTGTGTTCGAAACTTTGTCATCCAGTAAATAATACTGTTTCACTCATTGTGTGATACATCTAATAAACAAACTAATATGGAATTCATTCGATGTGGTTAAAATACGCAAGGCTTCAGGGGTCATCCTTTCTTCATGTGAATAAAAGCCCCTCCCTAGAATTTTGATATTGTCGAAATCAATCTCATGTCGGTTGTCTATAGCATGCACTGCTATAGTTGATCTTTTCTCTAGACCTTTTAATTCTACTTCATTTCTAGGCGGGGACGTTTCCTGCATAGTCTGTGTTCACTCATTCTAACCTTCACCTGTCTACTACTCTCCCCTATATAACAAACTTCACATTCTGAACACTTTATCCTTTAGACACAATTACCTTGTGACATTTTTGGGACCATATCTTTAACAATCAACAAAGCTTTCTCTGTAGAATAATAAGTCTTGAAATAGACTTTAATATTATATGAAGCAAATAATCGTCTTTGAAGTTGTTCAAATGTATCCTTTCTATATGGAATGTCTGTGAAGGAACTTAATCCTAAGTTCCTATTATTTTCGAAGACTCTCGAATCGACAGTTATACAATGCACAAGATCGACTTTAATTCCAAAACACAAGGTAAGGCTGATAAGAAATTGTATTCTTCGGCAGTTAAAATCAGTACTCGGTACCATGTCTATAAAAAAATGTTTTACAAGGAATGTACTGTACTTTTCTTCGTATTCCTTCGTCTTCTTCCAGCTTGTACACGATTAAATCATTCGCGCCTTCAAGTTTCCCGCCAATGGCGACCAAGGTCAATAAACCAGCGTTCAATGTCCACAATCATTGACACTCCCCAGCAAAAAGGGTTTATCCCTTTGACCATAGCGCCGGTAACCTTGAACTGAACTGCCACCGTGGGAACCTGGGCCAACAGGGACTAGGCTAAAATGGAAAAGCAAGACAAAAAGGCCCAAGACACAACAAGCATACCACATCACACCAGTAAGCTCTACCCGGCGTGTGGGATCTTCCCCAGTGATCGGAACTTTACTTCACTCTCTTTCGACAATACCACCACTAATCTGGTTCTCTGGGTAATGGTTGCTTCGCATCACTCTGACACAATCCCCCTCCCTCGACGGCGTATCATATCGCGTACACTGACTTTAACACTACTCGATTCGTTTACAAGTGTAGAGGACTAGAAACGACTTCAAAAGTACTTACAATAACATTACAAAATGATTCCCACAGTGCGACAACTATAAAATTAACCAACAATTAGATGAATTGGATGAACTGTGCGTCGGTGGTACAGTGGTTAGGACTCTCGCCGACCATGCACATGGTCCGAGGTTCGATCCCTTACCGACGCACACCTGATATCAGGTGGTTGGCCTGCAAAATTTGGGCTACCGATATCCATACTGAAAATTCCATACTTGTACCAAAAATACAGTGTGGAATCAGGATGTAATCAAAAACAAAAAATGAACTGGAAACCACTCTAGTACTTAACATAAATACACGTAAGATAAGATAAGATAATAGCTTTATTCCAAATCAGTACTTGTGATACAGAATGGAATTCTCAGTATTTCACCACAGTATTGCATCCAGTTAGTACATTGTCAATAAATATAGTTCTACATAGATTAAGGTTATCTCAGTCAGTTTTGACAACAACATATTAGCATGTCGGTAGCAAAGCCAAAATTTAAACAGAGTGCTTGAAGGTGTTAGAAAAGTAGATACTACTAGCATATTTCCTGCCGTAAGCGATAGCAAAATGGTCGAGATATACAGAATATACAGATAAACAGAGTGTGAAAGAACGAACAAGAATGTTTTAAGTAGAGTTTGCAAAGAAAAGAGAAACAAAACAACACATAACAAAAAAAGGTAAAGAGAAAACATTGTACCTGTAAATGATGTGAGTTGGAAAGACGAGATCCATTTGTTCTACTGACTATTTAATAAGTTAAAGGTTTCACGCCTAATGATTTCTTTATCGCACAGAACACGAGCCAAGTAGGGTATGGTTGAGTTTTTGTACTTATTAGTGCAGGCATATAGTTTCCAATATAGGCTTCTGGTTTTCCCTGAAGAGATACATGGGGAGAGTTGTGAATGTAGAGGGTGTTGTGAGTCAGATAAAATGGATTTCGCACATTTTTCACATGAATCCATGTGCCTGTCCACCAGAATATTAACAAGCTGGCTAAGTGGCAAACTGCTTACCCTGCTGACAACCTTTATCACCCTACGTAATAAGATATAGCCTTTTATCAGTAGCCCTTTAAAAACGAAGCGGGAACCACAGAGAATAATAGGGAGAATGCGAGAGTTAACGAATTGTTGGAGTAAGGGTTGGGTTATACCAGAATGTCTTAACTTCTTGATGTAGAAGGTAAGACGGAATATTTTCTAAGAAATCGTCAAGATATGAGACGACCAGGAAAGATCAGGAGATAGAATGACGCCTAGGTATTTAATTTCCGACTTGGTTTCTCTTTCAGTGCCATCTATGTTGCACACCTCGTGAGTGCTAACCAGTTTGTTTAGGTCAGATTTGTGCCTAAAGGTGAAATTGACTGTTTGGCATTTGGAGGGGTTTGAGATGAGACCGTTTTCCTTGGACCATTGGCTGATTTCTGATAAGAAGCCATTTAGTTTCGAGCAGTCACTTTGACATTTGACAGACAAAGATACAATCAGGTCGTCAGCATATTTGACAAAGTTAATGTCATTTGAAGATGGTAGGTCATGCAGAAAGAATGAAGAGAGAAGTGGGGAGAGTACAGCACCTTGGGGGACACCAGCTTCAGTGAGCACAGCAGAGGAGGATTCACCTTTGTATACGGTGTACTGCATTCTGTTTGAAAAGTGGGAATGCAACCAGTTAGTGACCCAGGACTCGGTTTGTGTCATGGAGAGCTTATTTAGCAAGAGACATCTAGGTACAGAGTCGAAAGCAGAAGTGAAGTCAAGAAACGTGCAGCGGACATATTTGGCACCTTTATCTAATGATGAGACAGTACTGTTGTGTAAGACGGCTGCAGCGTCTAAAGTACTCCTACCCTGTCTGTAGGCAAATTGTTTGGGGTCTTCGAAGCTTATAAGGGAGGGTTTAAGTACCAGTTTTTCCATAAGTTTTAGAAACGGGGAAGTGATGGTGATGGGTCTGAACTTTACGTTCTTGCTATTGCCAGGTTTAGGGACAGGAACTACTTTAATGTCTTTCCATGGGACAGGTACAACGTTTTCGAAGAAAGTAGCATTTAGGATATTAGTTAGAGAAGAGCATAAAGCATCTGCACATTGTTTTAGAACACATGCAGGTATGCCATCAGGGCCAAGACTATGTGGGGGCTTAAGAGTTTTAAGACATTTTAAAACATCAAGAGTGTTAAAGTCCTGGAAGTTATCAGCTACAAGATTAGTAACGTTAGAAGTGGTTATAGTAGAAGGAGAGCGTATAAAAGACAGATTAAGAGCATTAACATCACAAGAAGGAAAAACATTACATCGCTTACTATTGCCAGTAATTTCATTGAAAAATTTCCACATGCTGTTAGGAGATTTGCATGATAAAAGTGTTTGGTTATAGATAGCATTAAGATTTTTGATTTCACATATGATTTGAGCATTAATCTTTTTAAGACCTAACTTGTCTTTGCATTTATATAACATTTCTTTTTGCCTGCGAAGTTGTTTGAGGTGGGGAGACGAAAAGCGGTCGAGGCGTTTGAACAGTGTTTGTTTGGGACAGCATATGTCGAGGCAGAACTTAAGATGATCCGTTATATTGGTGATTGAGTCATCTAATGTACTTTCATAGAATAAATATGTACAATCAATACGTCAAATATTGTGGATTCTGCCTTGACGAGCTACCCTTGAAGAACTGTAGGACTTACACCAGTACGCCTACATTCCTTCTCAGGTTGATGATCCAAGTGGAAGTCGTCCGGACACAAAAATAACTAACCAAAAGATAGATGAGAGATGATGCTAAATCAATATATGCAAGATGAACATATGTACAAAATAACACAAGTACGGTGGATTGCGCTTCGATATACTACCCTTGAAGAATTGTAGTACCTACAGCAGTACGCCCACAACCCTTCTCATGTTGACGCCCTAGGCTGGAAAATTGTCGCAGAGTTCATTTGCTGACTTCCTTCTATCATCTATATCCTCAAATCTGAACGGTAACACGCCCATGTCATTGTATCGTAGAATACAGATGACTAACAAACATACGATGTGCCAGGTCAACCAAGCGTAAAAACAGAGTAATTTACACCAAAGATAATAGCATTCAAATAGTAACTTTAAACCTGAAAGACTTTTATTCTTGCAAGTCAGTTTAACAATAACACTCCCATACACAGTTGGCTTATCCTCACTAAACTGACCAATATCTTTCGTCTTATCATATCCACCGATACTAGCATATTCATAGCATAAGACACATGAGTTCATGGGCAAATCTTTCATTTTGGATGAGGACACCAACGAATACTGAGTGATACGAGTTGATGAACTCAGCGGTGCATCACAAGCTGTTGTTGTTCGGCTTTTAGAAGGCTGTCTAACTGCAAGATTATCACCACTGCTGTCTTTTAGGGTTAGCTCCAGTTAAGCACTAGCATCTGTTGATAGGTTGGCTACACACTGATCATTTACACTAACGGTCTCATGAGTATCCATACCTTCTGCAACCGCATCTTCCTTTAACTCTATTTCACGTTCACAATGCACAGAACCTTTGTTCAACTCAGTAGTAGCAGGCATTCCGCTCGTCTCATCATGATCAGCCAAAGACAAATGTGCACTATCATGATCATTATCACATCTTGCGTCGGTGGCACAATGGTTAGGACTCTCGCTGACCATGCACATGTTCCGAGGTTCGATCCCCTGCCGACGCACACCTGATATCTATGGTTGGCCTGCAAAATTTGGGCTACCGATATCCATGCTGAAAATTCCATACTTGTACCAAAAATACAATGTGGAATCAATCTGTAATCAAAAATAAAATAAATAAAAAAGTATTCACTTTACCCACGTCTATCAGGTCGACTTCATCATTTTCAAACTCTTTAATAACAACAGTACATGATTTTGGTTCTTCCTCATAAATCTTTGAAGTTACGTTTAGTTTTGATGAGATCCTTCAGTCAATTATTGATCGTAAGATTCCGTTTGTATTAATATCTGAGTTGATATCCGTATTGTTTCCTACATAAAAATTATTTGTAAATAATGAACATTAAAAACAACTGGAGAAGAATTAGTCGATATTTCAAACAAAATGAATGGCAAGTTAGTCACCAACAGTGCTGGACGATCTGAATATTTAAAACTGTTTGGTTGTATAACATTCTATTTTTAACTTGCTATGTTGTGGAATGAAAGGGTACCAGCATAGCAATTAGTAGTGTTCTCTGAGCTGGCTGGTTTAGCTGCCAAGCTTTCGTCAGCGCAATTTTTAACATAAAGTGAAATGATTTCAATTTTCCTTGAGTGATAGAATTGCGACTCCATGTAACCATTTTCACATATGTATTGGTCATTTTCTATTGATTTGGAATTGAAGCTTTCACGTCACATGATTTACTTCTTATTGGTTGGTATATTCGATCTATATTAAGGTGTTTGTTACTTGCATATTCGTTTGAGTACCAGGCTCCTAGGAATTTCTTGACTGCACTTTTGGTGTTTCCTGTTTTAAAATTTCGACATTATTCCATGTCCATAATTATCTACATGCATTGATATGAAAGAGGGATATATATATCGTGTCTTTTTACAGGTGATTTGTGTTCATGGATTCTGATTCGAAGGGGATGCCCACTTTGTTAATGTGATTTCTGTTACAGTTCACCCAATTATTTATTTTGTTAATGGTATTAGTTTTATCTCCTTTTTCTGTTGGGTGAGTCTTTCGGTTTGCACAATATCTATGAATGAAGCAATTAGACTGGCGCACTTCTGCGCTATATCTATTTCAAACGGTTTCAGTATTCTAGTTGTTATTTCAGAGATATTTTCTACACAAAGTAGGATGAGTTTTCTTGTGGTCTGTGATGATGGTTTCTTGTTGGTGTTGTGATTCGATTCTAAACACTTTTTGATGAAATATTGTGCGGATATCCATTCTTTTTGAAGACAGTTAGTAGGTATTTTTCTTCTGTCATTTTTTTCAACGCTGGAGTGCTACAGTGTGTTTTTGAATTCTTTTAAACAATGTCTGCACACAGTTTCTTTTGTGAGTGAGTAATTGGATTATTGCTACTAGTATAGTTGAGTATTTGATCTGTATGCGTTGATTTAAACCATTTCACTTTATGCTTAAAAATTGTGGTGAAAGGGGATGTTGTCCAGAATGATGGACTACGAAAGCTCCGCAACTTAACCAACCAGCTCACAGAACACTATTAACTGCAAATTATTCTTCTCTTTGTGTTTTTCAGCAGAGAACGATCAATGTCTTTTGTCTCTGTGTAATCGATAATTTTTCACGTCTTTATCACATAATAAAGGTACTTATATGTATAAATTAACTTGGGTTATTACTGTTTAACTCTTTTTTTACTTTAAATAGCATCTTTGTCGACAAGGTCGTGAAGCTGTTCAAGTCACCTACAGTACTGATATTCTACGCTTTAACAATAATGATCTATTTGATGATGGTGAAGCTAGTTCAATTCACCCACCTGATAATCATGGTCGTTTACACTTACGTCTTGCTAATGTTGGACATCGTAAGCAATCAGCAGGAAAAGAAATAATTATCAGAAATAATAGTAGCAGAAAAAGATTCTTAATCAATGAAAGTGATGTTGGATGTTTTGGAAAGTAGGTGATTTTATATTTGTGTCCTTCTGCAAAGTTATTGTAATCCTTTTAGGGGGGTAATTTATTATCATTATCAAGTGATAAGGAAATTTCAGAGCTTTTTTTACTGAATCGTTCGTAGCTAATGACAACTAATGATTAGTTATAGACTACTTTGCAATATTGGATGACCTTCGTGAAGTTGAGGCATAAGTGGATAGACTTATAAACTTTGTATTGAGGTATTAGATGTTTCTGCTAAGCTATAGCGTAATTTCGACTACATTTTGATTCCAGATTGAAACTGATTGAAACTTAAGGAGAAAGTAATGAAAATTTTGTAAACGTCTCACCAGTCAAGACTCAAGCTTGAAGCTTATTAGAAGCATGAGTCTAGAGATCTCTGATTTCGGTGGTGAAGTCTACTATTTTATACTTTTAATAGTCATCATCATATACATATGTGCGTCGGCGGTGCAAAGGTATAATATTCGACAAGCACGCCGGTGGTTTGGGGTCCGACTCCCTGCCGACGCACGCCTTTACCTCACCCAACCAGTAATTATTATTATTTTTTCCTTTAATTCCTAGAGGGGCATGGGGTTTCAACCAAACTTCTCCATTGCCTTCGTTTCTCTGCTGAAGTTTTGATATGTATCCACATATATATATTTATGTGTGTGTGTGCATGTTGGTCTCTCTTTCTGTTTGCTCGGTTAGTCTGTGACCACTTCACTTGTATGGACTTGTCTCCTTTAATAATGTGTATTCTCCTTATATTATATTATATATAATATGAGTGTTTGTTGACAGTCCGTTGCTTGGTGACATATATCCATATATGTTTGTTGGCATGTCTGCTATATTCGCTATGTATAATTGGATCGACACTCCATTATAATTAGCCATTCATGTTAAGACTGTCTAATGATTTTTCCCACGCTTGTCTGAATTATTTATATATATTCGCATTCACAATTTGTGTGAACTACTTTACTTTACAACTACTTTACTTACTTACCACTTTGGTGTGAGACCATTTATTTTCGTCTCCTTGTGTTTGGACAATAGAAGTATCATCGCAAACCTAGTGGTCTTCTGATTTCCGCCTTCTCGCGTCAGGACTATTAGTTTCTCGACCAGTCCATAACAATAATTTAGCGACGAGTACATAACAATTTGGCGACGGGGAAAACTAGTACATAACAATTTGGCGACGGGGAAAACTACTATTAACCACTCAGCAGCAGCAACATAACAATTTACTATGGATCCTATTAAATTGGAATTATTGTTTGAACGACAAATGAAATTAATGGAAATGTTCGTCAACCAACAGACTGGTCCAGCTCCACCTTCAAGCAATCCCAATCATACCATGCTACCATCTGTCGACGGAATTGTGAACAGCATTTCACAGTTCAATTATGACCCAGAGGCTAATGTCACTTTTGACACATGGTATCAACGTTATGAGGATTTATTCACTGTTGATCTCGCCTCACAAGACGATGCCTGGAAGGTGCGAGTTTTGCTACGTAAATTGGGTCCGGCAGAATATGAACGGTACTGCAACCTAATTTTACCACAGAAACCACGTGACAATTGTTTCGATGATACAATAAAGTTGCTGCGTGAACATTTCGGAGACCACTCCTCATTATTCAGTATACGTTATCGTTGCCTCAAGCTGGCAATGAATGAAAATGATGATTTTCTTACTCACGTTGGCACAGTCAACCGAGAATGTGAGAGATTTCGACTCAGGTCCTTAACAGATGATCAGTTCAAAGCCTTGATTCTCATATGCAGTCTCCAATCTCCTCGTTTCACAGATATCCGAACTCGACTGCTCAATCAGCTAGAACAAAATCCCAAGTTAACATTACATGACATAGCTGATGAATATCAACGGCTGATTAATCTGCAGAAAGACACACACCTGGTCGAATCAACACCTCCGAGAAGCTCTGATATTCGTGCATTACGCAAGAGCAAAAATCTCTCATCATCTACTCCTGACCCACCTACTTCTCTAATGTTCCGCGGAAATCTACACATACTCGTCCAACTTCACAAAATACTGCAAAGAAGACCCCACCATCACCATGCTGGCATTGTGGCGCGTGGCACTTTGTAAAGTCTTGCCCATACAAAAATCATCGTTGCAGCAAGTGCAAATCATCGGTCACAAAAATGGTTTTTGTCAGCCACGCAACCCAGATATCAAAATCCAGCAAAAGCTCAACAAAATGTTGGTCCTAAATCCCCAAAAAGTCATTGAGTCTACGCGCAACCCGTCAAGTCACAACACCAGCTATGCGGAAATATCTTGATCTTCAGATGAATGGTCATGATGCACGTCTGCAGCTAGATACTGCCTCTGATATTACTGTTATATCAGAGAAACTTTGGAATTATATTGGCAGACCACCTATCACCAATACTTCCCAGTCTCTTGTCAGCGCCTGTGGTGGGCGGCTCAAACTAATTGGTGAACTCAAATGTTCTGTTTCCTTCCGCAATACCAAATTCACAGGAATTTGTTACGTCACGAAGAATGATTTAAATGTTTTGGGACTTGATTGGTTCGATCGTTTGCATCTGGCTGATGTCCCACTAAATTCTCTACGCAATACAGTGAAGAAGCATAAAATGCTAGACAATTCCGGACGGAGCCGAAGCCGCAAACCCAACAATCAGACGAAACGACAGGCGTCAACAACAAGCCCAAAGGTCCCAGATAAACCCCCAGGTAAACATCCTACTAATCATTCATCTTCTCAAAAGGGGAGGTGATATGTATCCACATATATATATTTATGTGTGTGTGTGCATGTTGGTCTCTCTTTCTGTTTGCTCGGTTAGTCTGTGACCACTTCACTTGTATGGACTTGTCTCCTTTAATAATGTGTATTCTCCTTATATTATATTATATATAATATGAGTGTTTGTTGACAGTCCGTTGCTTGGTGACATATATCCATATATGTTTGTTGGCATGTCTGCTATATTCGCTATGTATAATTGGATCGACACTCCATTATAATTAGCCATTCATGTTAAGACTGTCTAATGATTTTTCCCACGCTTGTCTGAATTATTTATATATATTCGCATTCACAATTTGTGTGAACTACTTTACTTTACAACTACTTTACTTACTTACCACTTTGGTGTGAGACCATTTATTTTCGTCTCCTTGTGTTTGGACAATAGAAGTATCATCGCAAACCTAGTGGTCTTCTGATTTCCGCCTTCTCGCGTCAGGACTATTAGTTTCTCGACCAGTCCATAACAATAATTTAGCGACGAGTACATAACAATTTGGCGACGGGGAAAACTAGTACATAACAAGTTTCCACGTGACTCCAAGTCTGTCCACATGCTTTCATCTCCTCTTCACATCACCTCCTCCAAGTCACCCTTGGACGACCAACTCGCCGCCTCCCCGCTCGGGTTCCACTCAAGGGCTTGTCTAGTGATGTTACTTGATGGTTTGTTTTCTCAGAACATGGTCAATCCACCTCCATTTCCTCTTGCAAACTGGTTGCACAATTGATTCTTGGTTGGTTTGCTCCCCGAGATCCCTGTTGCTGATGTTTTCTGGCCGGCTATCTGATCTTGAGTAGTATTGAGAGAAGGCAGTTGTTGATGAAGGTCTATAGTTTGTTTGAGATGCTCTTTAAGACTCGCCAAGTCTCTGATCCGTACAGTGAGTAGCACTGACTTCACAATGGATTTGAAAATTCGGATCTTATTTTTCACGTTGAGTGCTGAGGGTTGGTCTCCACACAGACTTGAGAGTAATGAAAGCCTGCCTTGTTTTCTCCATCCTTACTTTGATATTCTCATCAGTTCCGTCAGCCTGTAGTTGAAACGATGCTTCCCAGGTAGGTAAAGGAGGTTGTTTCTTTCAGGTTCTTCCCATTTGTGCTGGCTGATTGTGGTGTGTTGCTGTTGTTGTTGGTGGTGTTACCCAGGAATCTTCATCACTTCTGTTTTATCTCCTTGTTCACCTGAAGTGAAGTGCTATCTTTGATGCTTCTCCTGCCAACTAGTTGCTTTTCATTTTCATATCTTCCAGTTTTTAGGAAATCAGGCATATATATTGCATCGAAGATGTCCAGAACCTCCAAGTTTTTTGTGTTTTTCCATCTTATGCCTGTTTCCTAATTGGCCGTTGTCTACCCTATGTTCCACTGGGAACGTAAAGCAACTATATATGTATATATTGCAATCAAAAATAAAATATTGCAGTTATAGTGTAGCAAATCCTCATAGTTTGACTACCAATAAATAGCTGCATATTGATTAGTCGCTTGACTGTAATCAGTGTTATGCTTCTAGTCGCTAGTGTTACTGCTGACTGGATTCTACCATTCAAGTTTGCAGTGTAGTCACTAAAGTTAATGACGTGTCGTCGTGGTACACTTTTAAATCATGCTGTGTCGTTGACGTTAGTCGCATGAAGCCCTGCACCTGGTTTTTTTTACCTATCATCAACCGTCAGGAAAGTGTATGAACAATTTTGAAGGAAATACCACTCCCTTTGGAATTCGAACCTGCACTACCCTATGGCAAAATAGCTCACTTCTAATTTCTGTGACTACTGTACCTTTGGGCGACGTATGTTTGAATCTTCAAAGGGACATTAGTTTCTCTGAAATTACAGACACACTTTGTTGATGATTGCCAACTAGCACAAAAGCCTAGGTCTAAGGCTTCCTCTGACCGATCGCCTTCAACCATCTAATACCGACAATTCACAGTGCACCGTGATGGCGAGCCACCTACTGGTATGGCGGCCACACGGCAAGCTTGACTGATAGAATTCTGTCTGCAGTGAAGATAGGACTAGACACATTACACCGGTTACTGACTAGTGTCCAATCAAAGAAAAAATTCTGGTTAATTCGCTTACCATATATTCGAATTATTAAAAAAAAACCACTCCTATTTCTGAAAAGTAATTTTTGATGTTCGTTCTAGTGTGATGTTCAGTTAAAAAAAAATGATATGTACTTTTTCCAAGATTTAAAGGTGGAGCTCTTTCAAATATCAATTCATTTGAGTCAAAAGCTTTTAATGAAAACACAACTGGTTTAACAGTTCGAGCACATAAAATCCGGTCAACAAACAGTGAACTACAAGAGATGTTGAGATCGATCACTACTTCAGAGAATACAATGCCTAAAACTATCCGAGCAATGAAATCATTGAATACTGAGAAGCATAGAAAAGAATTACCTAGTGAAAATGAAGCAACCAGACAAACTAAACTGGAACGTTTACATTGTTCTTTAAAAGCTATTCATGGTTTAACAGGTGTATACGATGAAAAATTATTCCCTAAAGCATACAGTACGCATGTAAGTCTGTAATTGGCTAACACATTGTGTTTTGAGTTCTCGATATATTATCAACAGTGAGATAATAAAAACCATATTAAGTTTATCAAAAGTTAATCAGCGCAGCGAAACAGTATTACTGTGTTTACTGGATGACAAGGTCTCGAAAAAAAAAATTATTGTTCATAATCATGTCATCAATTATAATCACACGACTCAATTCTGACCAAAAGAACTCGAACTTAGGAGGAAAGTGCCACTTGAGGACATAATGCTGGGAGTGCAGCTAGCTACCCCTGACTTCCACAGTATTTAAATTTCTTCAGGGGAAAATATACAAACAAACTGAGGGAGTTGCTCTTTGGCGTCACCAATATTCCCGGTTGTAGCAGATATATTCATGGATAGGCGAGAAAACATAGCGATTGAAACGTTCAGCCCCAACCACTCCAAAAGTATGGTGGAGGTATGTAGATGATACATTCACTGTACTTAGAACACAGGGTACAGATAGATTTTTCGAACATACTAAGTTAAAGGTAGAGGTAATTCAATTTACTTATGAATTTAAAAGTCACGAAGAGGAACTGCCAATGTTGGATTGCAGCATAGAAAAAGGAAAGAAGATGGGAAGTTAAACACTAGTGTTTACTGCAAAACCCACACACTCAAACAGATATTTGGACTTCCGATCATCCCACCCAATCTATGTCAGGGAAATGTTTAGGTAATAGAGCACAAAAGCTAAGTAGTACCAAGGAAAATCCAAGACAGGAAGTGATACACATAAAAGAAGTCTTGAAACTTAATAATTACCCTGATAAATTAGTCACGAAATGTGTAGGGAAATGTAAAAATAAATAATAATAGTAAGGATAGTGATGGTAATAATAATAGTAATATTAGTGGCGGCATGCATGTCGAAAATCCTCAGGATAATAACAACACCAGCAATATGGAATATAAATCATAAGTAGGAATTTCAAACAAGGAAGGAACCTCGGAGTAAAAGTGACTGGTATTCAATCAACCACAAACTCAATTAGAAACAAGCTTTGTCGGTTAAAGGATCAATCATGTGGAGCCTTTAAAACAAAACAATTTAGTTTATCTAATACCCAGTCTGCGATGACTGTCAGGTCAAATACACAGGTCAAAGTAGTAGAACAGGGCTCAGTCAGTTAGACTAGCCAAGCATAAAATCTTATCAAGATCTAGATTGGTTGACCCGAAGAAGATAAGAAATCTTGAGGTTAGTTCATCTATAACACTCACCACATGCAATTACACGTAGCCATACAATAGGATGAATGGGATAACATGACATTTTTAAAATCTAATATACCAGCAGGATGGAGGGAGACATTGAATAACAGAAGCTTTGTTTATCGAATCAACTGCAAACTCGTGTAATAAGAATGATTCAACAATTGTTCACCCGAACATCTTGAAAATTCTACTAAGCCGATGACGAATAGGAGAAAACAAAGAAAACTGTAAAACTCAAGTTTCGAAGTCGTGTGATTATCATTGATGAAATGATTGTAAACAATATATTGTGTTCGAAATGTCATCCAGTAAATAATACTGTTTCACTGTGTGATTCATCTAATAAACAAACTAATATAGAATTGATAACTGCCATAGTTCTCATGTCTTACCCATTTATTAGTCAGCACAAGCTGCAGAAAGAAGTGAGTCACTGGAATTTATCTCCAAGCTGGCTTCCTTTGACCATGGGTGACGACATTCTGTCTCTCGTATAAATTAATGTAATTTGGTCAGTAATAATAAGGTTAGGTAGATAAGGAAAGCCACGTGATTAATAAGTTAAGTAATGTTGACGTTAGGCGTAGTGTTGGGCAAAGAGGGAAAATCAATCGACGAGGCTATAAAGTTACATAGATTGAGATGGCTAGGTCACGTCACGTGGTGCGCATGCCTAACCATCGCCTCCCCCGACGGGCATTACTAGCTGATATAGGTGCAGGTTGGAAAAGAGCCAGTGGTGGCCAAACAAAAACATGGCCTCATCAATCCATGAAATCCTTGACAGTTAAACTGAGTCAGGTAGGGAGATGCAGACACCCGGGTTGGGGGCCTCGGGACTCTAGGAATCAATGGCTGGAGACAATAGGTGACATGGCTCAAAATCGTTGTCAATGGCCAGCGCAGATGTATTCAGTCTCTGTAATCTTTCATATTTCTTTCTACCATTACCCATTCTGTTTCGCTCTGATACCTGTCAAACTCTATTGATTCTCTTCATGCAGCTTCTTGTCTACCTTTGTGTGCTATTTGGAACGTGGGAACTCGAACTGCTGGACTTCGGTGCCAAGTTCTATGTTGAATCCAGACAGACAGACAGACGTGATCAGTCTGTGAAGCTGCATACATCTATATGGCTCAGATATCCATGCAAAGCTATGACATTCCTCATCAAGAAGTGTTAACTAACGTAGGATTATTTTGAACAAGTGTTGAGAGTGTTGAGATAAAAACATATGGCAACAATCTAGGAAGCTATCCACTTTGTTTATGGAAGCTGATGTGACTCAAGGCGCTGTACTTTCTTCATTTTTCCTCTTTCTTTGCATGACTTGCCATGTCATTGAATATATTGATGATTTGGCAATTTCTTGCCCAGTATTTTTCGTATTAGATTGTTCTGACATGAAGAGTTTCCTCCCTGATGTTAACTATATAGGTCTTAAACTGAGCCTTTACAAATGTCAGACTGCTAATTTTTGTTTCCGGCATGAACAAAACTTGCTTGGACTGATTCAATCCTATGATTCCTATGATACTGACAGCGCTGTGGTAGGAAATAAACTGAATGGTATTAGTTTCCTTTCCTTTCAATCTCTTTTGGTCATCTTATATCTTATTGATTGCTAGAAAATCTTCCGTTTCACTTAATTACATGATCTATATATTCCACGCATTCTTTTTCATCGTTCTCCCTTATTCTTCTCTAGACTTCTCAGAAAGGACTACGTTATATCATGTGGGACTTTAAAAGCTGTATACAGGGTTAGTTGTGTGCGCGTTTAACTCAACTAGCTGGGACTGTTATGGATAGCCACTTGGATTCTTGTCAGCCATTGGCTAAAGTCAACTTGTAGGATACTGAACACGTTTTGATTGCATCTATTCGGGTAAAATTCAGATATATCCCATTTATTACGGATAACGTATAAAGAGACAAATGTCAAAGAATGACCTTTAAACCTAGAATGTATAGTGGTCTATTATTGAGTAATAAGTTGAGGAGGTGACATAATTGATATAATTACTCGGAAGTGGCTTTAGAAGTAAAAACAAATTAAAAGTTGTAAATTACGTAGTACTCAACAGCACAAAGATAGAAATTTGATAAGGTTAAAATTGCTATTGAGTGAGAATAAAGGTGGTATAGTTGAGTGTCAATTTAACAAGTGTGAAGAGGGTGTGAAAATGTACAAAAGGAACATATGAGATTGATAATAATGATTTAATTATTAGAGCAAGGGCAAACTAAAAGTAAAATTGAAAATTAAAAAGCGAAAGGAAAAAATCAAAACCTTTTTTTCACAGGGAACAACTAGTGAAGAGGTTACGACCAGGGTAGCATACGAGACTAGACAAACGCCTTCTGTATACAGAGTTCGAGGTTGGATTTTACAAATTCCCCAGCAATTGATGGGGAATTGGGGTGACCAGACAATTCCTCATAGAGAATCGATATTCGCCAAGATTTATCGAGAAAAACATGACTTTTTTATTAAGGAAAAACATGTCATATTTATACATTTTTAGCCAGATTTATGATCAGTTATAAATATACTGTTCTGACTGGTAGTTTGATTTTCTGAAGGTTAAACCTCGAGATTATTTCTTGGCCAAACTGACTGACTGACTGCTTTCAGCGTAAACCTTTGCACAGATGTGCAGCAGTTCGAGTTACCACACACCATGTTCCACACAAAGCAAGAGAGGAGAGATTCAAAGTAGAGATAATAAGCAGAAATGTGAGAGAGGGAAAAACAATAATAATATAGAAGAACAATAGAATTTTACTGGGTATCATAAATCACAAAGAGTGAATGTATGTGCGCCAGCCATTGAGAACAATTTTGAGCCATATCAGCGATTGTCTCCAGCCGCCATTGGTTTTTACCGTCGCGAGGACCTCGACCAAGAAGTATACACCTCCTTACATCGCCAGCTTAAACCAGCTGTTGTGGATTTCATTGACTGATGGAGCTTTATTTTGGTTTGACCAGCACCACTAGCTCTTTTCCAACCTGATCGATCCTATGTCAGCTCACGTTGACCGCCGAGGAAGGCGATGATCTGCTAGGCATGCATAACACATATCTCAGGCATCTCAATCAGTGTAACTTAACAACCTTATCGACTAACTTCTCCTCCCTAGCTAGCACTCGATCGATGCCTAACCTCAATAAAGCTCACCTAATTATACCACTTCACACAGGAGATAGAACTCAAGCAGAATGTAAGCTAGATCCAGATTCCAGAAACAAACGCCTCTAACCAATGACTTAAAATGCTGTTTTCATTTCCGGTTACCTCCCATCAATCTTACTCTATATACTGTTGATAAATCTACTCAATAGCACACGCCACAACATTTTATTCCGGAATATTGTCAAAAAGACCGTTCCGGTGAGGAAAATTTTTTTTCGACGAAGTCACCAACTAGACAGCTGTACATTCCTGTATTTATAACAAATGGATGGGAAAGTTCCAGAATTATTCCCGGTCAACGGTCAAACTAATAAAATTACAATAAGAAATTGAAATGCAATAATAAACAGGGGAACGCGCTCGGGAACTTATGCAGCCTGGATACCAAAAGGAGACCGAAAAAGTGTGTATAGTTCAGTGACTGACAGAACATCTAGTCAATTCAGTACATTCAGCGCCATTCGAAAAATCCTTCAAAATAATATACAAGATTCGAGCAAATATATGAAAGGGGGTACAATTAAGACATCTGGGCATAGCTGAGGCACTAGCCATCCAAAAGCTCAAACCCACGCTATATATCCACAAGAGATACGTTCAACCCTTGTAACTGACATGGCCATCATAAAAAGGTAATTCTTTTAAAAGTGACTATCCCACTACCTTTCTTATCCAAACTTCCGTGTATTCATATTATTTTTAAGTTTTTCTTAATCCTTATTTACACTACCATATTTTCATATCCGAACTTCCTGTCTATTTTGTCACTTCACTATTTCTTCATATTTAATCCACAATCGCATAAACGATTATTCGTCACATTAGTTATGATCCCAGTAGATCTTTTTATCCAAACATCCTGTATATAATTGTCATTTCTACATTTCTGACCCCCAATTGCACAATACGTCAATCTTTTCAGTAATTATGATGCTACTATGTTTGAGTTTTATCCGTCCCGCCCCCTGTTTATTATGGGATTTTAATTCCTAATTGTAATTTATTAATTTGACCCTTGACCGGGAATTATTCTGGAACTTTCCCATCCATTTGTTATAAATACAGGAATGTACAGCTGTCTAGTTGGTGACTTCGTCGAAAAAAATAATTGTCTTCGTTGCAACTGTCTTCTTAATAATTTCTATGATCCAATGTGTGTATTCCGTGAAATATTCTTTTCTTCACTGTTTCCATCACTAATAATACTCATGCATCTTAAACAATCTCTGAGATATTTACAGTTCATTTCATCTTGTAGACTTTATTACCGGAGAAGAAATTACAACTAGATACTATAAGTCATTATAGAGAACAGAAAAAACGTGAATTAATTGAACAAATGATAACTGGTGCTACAACAATTGAACACAACTTGTACACAAGTTTTGGTTGTACAGAATTTTTTGAATATCAATTAAAGAATCCATATAATGTCGAGGATACTATTTGTGCTACAATTGAAGATGACACGTGAGTTCATAAGATTTTCAATCTATTCACTCCTCCATTTTTTAACATTTAGCCTAATTACCATCTCGGTGACACAGCAGTTAGGACTCTCGTTGACCATGCACATTGTCCGAGATTCGATCCCCTGCCACTGACGCACACCTGATATTAATAGTTGGCCTGCAAAATTTGGGCTACCAATATCACATGCTGAAAATTCCATACTTATACCAAAAATACTATGTGGAATCAACCTGTAATCAAAATTTAAAAAATATATAAATATATCACTTGAATAATAGGTACCGTCTAGACTCAAACTTGTAGTTAATAGTGTTCTCTGAGCTGGTTGGTTAAGTTGCGGAGCTTTCATCGTCCATCATTCTGGACAACATCCCCTTTCACCGCAATTTTTAAGCATAAAGTGAAATGATTTAAATCAACGCATACAGATCAAATACTCAACTATACTAGCAATAATCCAATTATTCACTCACAAAAGAAACTGTGTGCAGACATTGTTTAAAAGAGTTGAAACACACACTGTAGCACTCCAGAGTTGAAAAAAATGACAGAAGAAAAATACCTACTAACTGTCTTCAAAAAGAATGGATATCTGCACAAAATTTCATCAAAAAGTGTTTAAAATCGAATCACAACACCGACAACAAGGAACCATCATCACAGACCACAAGAAAACTCATCCTACTTTATGTAGAAAATATCTCTGAAATAACAACTAGAATACTGAAACCGTTTGAAATAGATATAGCACAGAAGTGTGCCAGTCAAATCGCTTCATTCATGGATATTGTGCAAACCGAAAGACTCACCCAACAGAAAAAGGAGATAAAACTAATACCATTTACAAAATAAATAATTGGGTGAACTGTAACAGAAATTACATTAACAAAAGTGGGCGTCCCCTTCGAATCAGAATCCAGGAACACAAATCAGCTGCGAAAACATATGATATATATTCCTGTTTCATATCAATGCATGTAAATAATTATGGACATCAGTTTGATGATTGGGATAATATCGAAATGTTAGACAGAGGAAACACCGAAATTGAAGTCAGGGAATTCCTAGAAGCTTGGTACTCAAACGAATATGCAGTTAACAAACACGTTAATATAGACCAAATCTACCAACCAATAAAAAAGTAAATTATGTGACGCGTAAGTTTAAAATCCAAGATGCAATTCTATCACTCATTAAAAAAATTTAAATCATTTCACTTTATGCTAAAACTTGCGCTGAAAGGAGATGTTGTCCAGAAAGATGGACGTAGAAAGCTCCGCAACCAAACCAACCAGCTCAGATAACACTGTTAATTGCAAATCATCCAATTGAACTACAAAGCTTCTCCATTATTTTATAAATCCAAATATCTAATGGAAAATTTGACAACCTTAATGGTTCACAAATTTTAAAACTGACCCAGTTTGATTAATTTATCTAACTGAATTGGTTTTAGTGCACATTTATGTGATTTTTAATTTTTTTGTCGTTTTCTTTTGGTAATTATTGTCTAGAATGGAAATTTTACCGGTGGTCTTTTCAGGCTATTTCCAACTCTAATGGTAGCGATTAATTTGTGGATGGTGGCTAGCAGTGAAATCCAGGATGCGCATTTCGTCCTATTTGGGACTCGTCACCTGGATGTGCCAGCATTTCCCAGTGAGTGATGATGTTCCCACCGAGGCTCGAACCCAGTGCCCGTAGTTTCAAATGCCAAAGCGTTATCCACTAGACCACTTGGGCCACGATATGTCAACCTGAGACCCAGCACTTCGATCCAGGCAATCGACAAGAAATTCTCAAATTCAATTAAACTAATGGTAGTGGTTAATATTAACTATGCAAGATTTCATATCCCTCCTCTTGCTATTTACCACAAACCCACTACATAACTATTCAGCATATTGCTTACAGGATTTCATCATGCGCTGATATTGGTTAGAGAACCATTGGAAAGCTAACAGGGAGTATTGGACAGCTGTTTCGTCAGCCTAGTTTGAAACTCATTAGAAGTACGCACCCGGCCTAGCGGGATTCGAACCCAAGACCTTTCGGTTACAAGGGCAGCGAGCTCGTAGACCATAAAGCCATTACTGGGACCCGATCCAATGAATAGCCCATGAATTCTAGCTTCTGTCAATTCATGACATAGCGTGACTACTTCTCAATGTCTTCCTTCGATAAGTTCCCATCTCACCTTCAAACTGTTTTACCCTATTGGTCAAGGCTTCCCACTAGAACCCCTGAATACAGCCAGTCGCTAGTGAGCATCAGATGGATTTTCAAGCACTGGTTTTGTAGGGATTTTGTTTGGTTGGATGGAGGATTTCATCATGAGCTGAAATCAGTCAGAGAAGCATTGAAAGACTTGTTTCTCTAAATGATGTCAGCTCATGATGAAATCCTTCAACCAATCAAATAAATAAAATCCCTACAAAATCAATACTTGGAAAAAACAGTGACTGTTTCTTGAAAAGTTATCCATTAGAAGATATATTTATAATTCCTAATGTAGAAAGTGGTTGTTTCATTTATCACGAGACTGTTAAATAGCACAAAATGTGTGACCGACTCAGTTCATTTACAGATTTGGTTTTGATGTGGTTTTGTTCTCTGAGCTGGATGGTTAGTTTGCGAAGCTTTCATCACCCTACTGGGTGACATCTTCAGCGCATACTTCAATTTGAAGTGAGCTTTTAGATTTCTCCACGAGTTTATTAGTCATTCCTCCTGATGACCTTGGACGTGATTGGTTGTTTATGTGTGTTTTCACACCTTCTAGGTTACTTGTATTGGAACTGATTGTTTCTTTGACTTGAACTTTGACCCTTTGTCTGTGAAGTTTCTTTCTTATTGGTTGATAAATTTTGTCTATCTCGATATGTCTATTGATTGATGATTCACTGGAATGCCAAGCTTTTAAAAATTCTCTAGCATTCTTGTTATTTCCTTTGTCTAATATTTGAACGTTGGTTGTCCCAGTCGAATTGATGTCCGTGGTTGTCTGTGTGTAGTGAAATGAGGGAGTGGATATCATGTCTTTTGACGGCTAGCTTATGTTCGTGGATACGAAGACGAAGGGGACGTCCACTTTGGCCAATATAGTGTTTTTCGCAGTTGTTACAGTTTATTTTGTAGATGATGTTGGTTTTGTCTTCTTTCGCTGTTGAGTCTTTTGGATCCAATAACAAACAAAAGGAATTGCATACAAACACTATTCTAGAGGGCAAGGACTTATTGCACACGTCGACGTAGCGTATCCAAATCTTGGGTCTGATCTCTGGTAGAATTATGTTTTCAAGTCTTTGCATCACTGCTTCTGCAATCAAACCTGATATTGGAGATCCCATGGGTGTTCCTTTGACCTGTTCATATATTTGACCATTGAATTGGAAGTACGTTGTTAGGCATAGATTTATGCATTCCATCCAGTTTGTGTGTTGCATTTTTGATTGTTGTGGAAGTTGTTCATCGTTGCTAAGTAATTGCTCCATGGTTTCTTTTGCTAGTTTTTGTCCGATGGAGGTATATAACGCTGTCACGTCGAAGGATACCATTATTTCTTGTTCATCTATTTGGATGCCTTTGATTTTCTCTAGAATTGGATAGCAGAGTTGATGGAGTGATCGCAAGATTCCGTTAGGTGTTTTAGATTTCTGTATAATTCTTTGGATAAATTATATGTTGGAGTTCCTGGGAGTGATACAATTGGTCGTAACGGGATATTTGCCTTGTGTATTTTAGGTCTGCCGTAGAATCGAGGTAGGACTAGCTAGGTGGCGAATGAAATCCAATGGACCAGTCCTACCTCGATTCTACGGCAGACCTAAAATACACAAGGCAAATATCCCGTTACGACCAATTGTATCACTCCCAGGAACTCCAACATATAATTTATCCAAAGAATTATGCAGTACAATATACAATACAAGTAACCTAGAAGGTGTGAAAACACACATAAACAACCAATCACGTCCAAGGTCATCAGGAGGAATGATTAATAAACTCGTGGAGAAATCTAAAAGCTCACTTCAAATTGAAGTATGCGCTGAAGATGTCACCCAGTAGGGTGATGAAAGCTTCGCAAACTAACCATCCAGCTCAGAGAACAAAACCACATCAAAACCATCCACCTGAGCTACAAATCTTCTCTATCATACAGATTTGGTTTATATTTATATATGCCAAACTTTATTTATCCTTCTTCACTTTCAGTATTCATCAAAAGAATGACCATTTCAACAAATGTAAAGAGGGTGTGAAAATGTACAAAAGAAACATATGAAAGTGATAATAGTGAAATGATTATTAAAGCAAAAGCAAACTAAAAGTAAAATTAAAAAAGAAAAGAAAAAATCGAAATTTTTAACAGGGAACGACTACTGAAGAGGTTAAGACTAAGGTAGAATAAGAGACTGGACAAACTTTTTCTATTTACAGAGTACAGAGTTGTATTGACGAACTGCCAGCGCCTCCGCCATACACAAAAGCCGAAACCAAACGCCCTTTGTACCATTTGGCTTCACTTTGTAGATGATCTTGAAAGACAACTCTGGTAGGGTTGAGTGGGCTTGAGTTCACCAAATGCTCGAGAATTGAACTAGTAATTGTCTTGCATTGTTCTTTGGCTAACCATGCCGGATAATGTTCAGAGATACGTTTGGAAAGCGTGTGCTTTATGCGGGTGGCCAATATAACTAGCGCCACAGGAGCAGGTGAATTAATAAACACACATTGAAGTGACCTGTTCGTTCAAAGCGGCAGTTTATCCTTCACACATCCATTGATCATTTGTTGGCTGTAGAAATAGTTACCTAGCTCAGCCATAAAGAAGGCTTTCCTCAGTGGTCTGAATAAGCAATTCTCCAGGATCCCAGTGGTGATATCACCTTTAAATTCAACGCTTATAAATAGCAGTTTCTTTGGAACCGTCTGGGTTCTTTCAGACTTTTGCGTTAACTTCATGTTTTTCTCAATAAATCTTGGCGGATAGTGATTCTCTAAAAGCACTTGTCTGAGTCGCCCCAGTTCTCCATCGATTGTATCACTTGAGCATATCCTCCTTATTCCTGACGATAAGGAATGGATCAGATTTCTCTTTCTTCTCAAAGGGACTCAGCTATAGAAATTTGTGTACTGAAAAAACGTTTTTCTTTTCTTTTTTTAATTTTTAATTTTACTTTTAGTTTGGTTTCCCTTTAATGATAATTTTCCCCATATTTCCTGCAGTTCAAATCTGCCTAAACTGACATTATTATCAGTGCTATAAAATCTTGAATGTAATTGGATCACTTCATTTTAATTCATGCATCATTTTGTTTTATTCCTTCACGTTCTCAATGGAACATGGGGGACTTCAAGCTAGAGGCTTGAAGTTTCTGTAGCATTGGTGATGATTTTTACAGGATGGGGTTTCTCTAAGCCTCATACCCCCAACCTTCCCTCTTTACCAGTCTTACTACTGGCGTAGCGAGCTAAAGGAGTGCATCAGTGGCCGGGAATCGAACCCCAAACCACCTGTGTGGTCGGTGAGCGTCCTAGCTGCTATGCCACCGACGCAAAGGCTGTGTGTTATATGCATGCGCCTCGCCCTGATAATGTTTTAGTCCACCGAGATAGACGGCTCTCAAGTGGTTGCGTCGCAGGAGGATCCTGCATGCTGGTATCGTCTCGAAAAAGGCAGGGATGGGTGTGTTTAGTTCTCCTGAAAATACCAATACCCAGTCAATGGGTGTATCACTGTATTCTTAATTCATATATCATATTTTAGCAAATATTTCCATCCTGATATGTACTCTTGAGTTCCACTGATTGTCTGTCTGTACTGTTGTGCAGAAGTTCAAGTCACCACACTCCCTTCATGTAGCACACAAAGCAACAGAAGAAAGTAGAAGAAATTCAAAATAGAGACAGTAAACAGAGGTATGACACAAAGGAATAGTAATAACGAAGAACAATGTAGTTTCGTTGGATATTATAAGTCACAGGGAGTGGATGAATCTGCGCTAGCCATTGAGAACGATGAGTTTGAGCCATATCACCAATTATCTCCAGCCGTTGGTTTTGCCGTCCCGAGGACTCCAATCAGTCAAGAAGTTTACACCTTCGTTCGTGGCTGGTTGACTTAAACTAACTGTTGTGGATTTCATTGACTGGTGAAGCCATGTTTTGGGTTTTGAGTTTAACGGGGAATTCGTTTATTGAATGGCTTTCTGAATGCTTCACCGCTTAATTGAAAAAGTATCTTAATGCAACTGCATTCATGTTAACCATATAAAATATTGATACTAGAGATAAATTCAATGTATGAGCACTCTTCATATATTCTCTCTAAGAAGAAGTATGTATAGGAGACCTACAAAAACAGGTCAGTACACACATTTTTTTTTGGTTTTATGCCTTTGAAATATAAACGTAACCTGGTAAAGTGTCTGGTTCATAGAGCTAGGTTAGTCTGTTCAGACGAATGCCTCAATGAGGAGAATAAGATTATTAGAGAATTTCTTAGAAAAATGGTTATTCGGGATAAGTTCATTGAGAAAAATATGAATTCAGTACCTACGAGAGTCAGTATGGTAACAGTTCCGAAAAAAACGCCACTGTTAATAAAACTGCAGTTCCTCGGTGATAACGTCAACGAAATAATAACACAGCGCCTGAAAAATGCAGTTAAAGAGCTTATTATGCAGCAGAGGTATGTTGTCTCTTCACAGCCACCTTTATTCTACGTCCGAGAAATAAGGATAAACTACCTAAATTTGCCTCTTCTATGTGTATCTACCAGTTTGACTGCAGCTGTGGATCCAGCTACATTGGGCGTACAATTAGGCAGGTTCACCATCGTATTTCCGAACATCATCCAACATGGTTAAACAAGCGACAAACAAGATCTATTCGTAGCTAGCTCTATGTTAGCACACCTTGTAGATAGTGAGCATAAGGTTGACGTTAATACTGCATTTAAAATTTTTTATTGCATTCCTAAAAATCTTAATTTTCCTCTACGATTTCGTCTTCTACATACAGCTGAAGCAATAGGGATCCTCCACTTGAAGAAGCCAAACCTGTGTGTTCAGAAGAAATTTGTACAGCCACTTTCCTTACTTTGGCCATCGTTAGATGAATGTATAAACCACACTACTTTCTCGTCCTTCCCCTAAACCTTTAAAAAATTGTGATAATTATAATTGCTCAAATTATTTTATTATTTTTCTGACCACTTCATCTTTAATTTACGTGTTATCCTTGTAAAATTAATTTATTCCAACCATTTCTACCTTTTAATTGTGTATGGATTTTCTTCGTTAATTATCGCCTCAGTGACATTTTGACACTGGCTAATTATTGTTAACAAACATATCAGTGCCACTTGATGATTGGTCAATTGTTGTGTATTGTAATAAAAATGCTACAACGTGTCAATTACAGACAATTGACACAACAGTTGGTCTAAGCCACGTAGGAAGGTGTAGACTTCCAGGCTGGGGTTCTCGGGACGGTAAAAATCTATGGTTGGAAACAATTGGTGACATGGCTCAAAATCGTTCTCAGTGGCTAGCGCAGATGCATCCACTCCTTGTGACTTATGATCTCCAATGAAACTGTTTTGTTTTTCTTTATTACTCCTTTGTCTCACACCTCTGCTCACTGTTTCTATTATGCTTTTCTTGTACTTTCTTCTCTTGCTTCGCGTGCTACACGGAGTGTGGCGACTTGAACTGGTGCACATTTGTGCGTAGTTCTATGTCGAAAACAGACAGACAGACAGCTACAACGTGTATATTAGAGTAGAGGCAGAGTGAGATGAGGATCTGATTGAAAATAGCAAAAATATTTCTTTGCTCAATCTTTCTGTTTTACATTTACAGAAATAATTTATCCTTTGTTGTCAATTCATCGGAAGTTCGTGCCTTGAAATTAGCCTTTGGGATTGATACACCAACAGAAGACAATCTATTTGCTGTAGACATTACAGACAATTTCATCGATCAGAACAATCAAGGTGACAGCCAAGTGGCGCAGAAGGAGAAGAAAAAGGTCACTATCAGACTATTTCTGAAACCAAATGAAACTGTTCTATTGCCAATTAAATATGAAGAATGTACAATGTTTCCTAATGCTAAACAGTATGCTGGTGTAGATGAAAGAAATGTAAGTGTATCAGGATAAAATTTGGCTTTTGTGGTGGTAGAGTATAACTGCAGTACAAATAAGGTTTTTGTTTTAATAAAGTGTCATACAGTGGTGTTATACAGTAAGTACTACTAAATGATGCGACCACATTTCGAGCACAAACTACTGCCACTCATAATCATATCAAGTCACTCAATCACTCACTCACACAACTCACTTTCTTGCTTCATTTATATACACGAGTGGAATTGATGATTAGACATTTGAATAAAATTCAGTATGAGATAACGTACATTCAGAAATAATAATATGAGTGTTATCAATCCAGTCCTTTTATAGTCAAAATAAATAAATAACTTGTTAAAATGTTGTGATTTACGTGAAATGAAAACGAATTTTAAGACTATTTATTATCCTCCTCTGATTTGACTGACTGACTGACTGGTGGTAATAATATCTTCCATGCATATCTGTGCTATTTGCATCGAGTCATTTCTATTACATGTGTTGTGTTGGGTGTAGACTCAATGAACCGGGATTCAGTAATCAATCCCTCTCTCCACCTACATAGATGAATTCTTAGAATTTTAACCCTCACCCACCCTATTGTGTGTTAATGCGTGAAGTGCAATTGCTGAGCTTTTTTATGAATTACTTATCTTCCCGGTGTCAACCATTCTTACCTTAGCTAAATTCTTAAGATCTGACAATCTGATTACCCCCGATCTACTAGTTTGACCTATGTAGTTGACCTTGCTCACAGTTATTGCATGGTATTTTGTAAATTATATTATTTTATCTAAATGGGTCCTTTAACCTACAAAGCTTGTCCAACCTGAGTGAGTTTGTAGGTTTGCTTGTCACACTAATTCCTGCTTTCTTTAGAATCCTACGTATGGCGGGACTCAGAAGTCCTCTCCTTATATGGTATAACAGTAGATGACTTATATTCTCTCTTATTCATGTTATTATTACTAGTTTCACGATTGTTTTTCTTTTTCTTTTGGCCTTTACTTATCTTTCTGATGAATTTAATAGAATAGTTATTTGACACCAACGCTTCTTCTAACTGTTGTATTTCATCATTTAGGTCTTTTTTTGTGCTACTTAGTGCTATGGCTCGGTTTGTTAGACACTTAAGAAAGCTAGTCTTTACAGATAACGACGGCCCATGTAACTGGCTCCATAGGAGCAGATGAATAGATAAATATACATGTAAGAGGCGAAATCAGGCCGTACAATTAGGTAAATTTCCCGTCCAATTTCCAAACATCACCCTGCATGGCTGGTTAAGCAAAGGACAAACCAAATCTATTCACAGCGCTATTCTTTCTCATCTTGTGGATACACAACACAAGATTGATGTTAACCATTCTTTCAGGGTCGTTTACCCATACCTACGAATTTCACTTTTACCTAAAAAAGAGTGCGACTACTAAAATATTGCTGAGGCTGGCTGTTGGGATCCATATTAACAAGCTTAATTTGTGCATGCAAAAGAAGGAAGTTCAGACATTATCATTACTTCGGCCACCTAGGTTTGAATAATCCTGAGTTTTTGTGGGATTTTCCTTATTTTAGTTGATATTCTATTTGACATTATATCTTTATTATTATAATTATAATTTAAGCATCTTTAATGAACTGTGGTAATTAATTCCATCGTGATCTTACTTAACAAATCGATATTATTATTTAAACAAACACTAATATTGCTAACTATTACTATTCTAGAATATTCTATGCATATAAACATATGTATATATAATTCTAGGGCCAGAGGAGATGGGAATTTATCGGAAAGGACATTCTTTGCTCAATTATTTTGTGTTTCATGGATGTCTGAATGAACAGTTTTGCTATGCATTAAAACAAATATCATTCATTGATTATCAAGTTTTTCAATTAATCATATTACTGATAGCATGAATCAACTTCCTGGTATTAAATTTTATTCGTTACTGCATATAGCTCTCAGAATTCACTTCAAATATTGAAGATGAACCAAAAGAAATGAAACGTGTTGCACAAGTAAGACAAATAATCATTCGGTATTTCAATTTTCCACCATGTTTACAATGTTGAAAAAAACTTGTTCGTTTTTATCAGAAAGTCACAGTAACCACATTATTTCTATGAAATTAAAGCTATATATATAGAGAGAGAGTTCTAGTAGTATGTACCACCTGCGCTTATCCGGGGACCCTGTGGCGTCGGCATCCGGCGTAGCTGGTGTCGGTGTCGCACTGAGCGCTAGAGCCGAAGCTGCACTGCTCGACTGGATTCCCATTAACAGTCGTTTATGTGCTGTGAGGCTGGAAGGTTATACGAAAGTAAAGAGTAGTAGGCCAGATAGGCGGTGTCTATTTGTTGTCTCTGCCTATGCACCGACGGATTGCAGCCCGGATGCAATGAAGGATGAGTTTTACTACCAACTGAGCGATCTCTTGAAACAGGCGGGTCGGAGGGATATCGTAGTGCTGGCTGGGGACTTGAATGCACAGGTGGGGCGTCTAAGCTCAGAGGAGAATCGTCTAGGTGGTCAGTGGGGACTACATGGTCGCAGGTCAGATAATGGGGACCGTCTTCTGCAGCTTTGCGCGGATCACAACCTATTTCTAGCTAGCACCAACTTCCGGCACAGCCATCGCCGTAGCGCTACCTGGCGTCCTCCCTCTGCGAAGCAAGCTTGGACTCAGATTGATCATATCGCGGTCAGTTTCCGGTGGCGGGGATGCATACAAGACTGTCGCTCCTTCTGGAGCACATGCCTGGACTCCGATCATGCGTTAGTGTGTGCCAAGTTCGTCTTGCGATTTGGTGGGGTTCGTAAAAGCCGTCGTCTAAGCGTTGATGTGAGCAAACTAGTAGCACCTGCTACTTCTTTGAAATATCAGAATGAGTTAAAAACAATGCTTGCCAGCAACCCCCCAAGTAGTATAGATGAACATTGGCTTCATGTGCAAGGTGCCATGCAAAAGGCGAGTGTAGCCGCTTGCGGCTTGAAAGAATGCTCCGCTAACAACCACTGGGTTTCTGCGAGTTCCTTGCAACTCATGGATGAACGCCGGTCCATTCCGGCTGGCAGCGAATACAACAATCAGCGAAAGGCGCTCACGCGCAAGATTAGACAGTGTTTACGTAAGGACCGCGAAGCCTGGTGGTCAGAACGTGCGTGTGAGATGGAGTCAGCTGCTGCATCTGGCAACAGTCGGAAGCTGTTCCAACTCATACGAGCCACCGGCAGCAAGAAACAAGGTGTCAGCGAGACGGTCTGTGAGGCAGATGGCACTCCAATTACCAGCCTGAAAAGACGCCTGGAACGCTGGGCAGAGCACTTCGGGAAGCAGTTCAGCTGGCCACCAGCTTCAGTGTCTACTATCATTAGCCCGAGTGCTCCTTGGTCGGTTAGTACCGACCCACCCACCGAAGCGGAGGTCCGTAAGGAACTCCAAGTTCTGAAACGCCATAAGGCGCCCGGCCCAGACAAATTACCCCCGGCTCTTTTTAAAGATGGTGGCGAGACTCTCACAATGGCTCTAACTGGGTTGTTCAGGAAGGTGTGGGAGACAGAGAGTGTACCATCAATGTGGAACGAAGCCATTATCGTCCCCATCTTTAAAAAGGGTCGACGTAATTCGTGTGACAATCATAGGGGTATCAGTCTGTTACCAGTCGCGTCTAAAATATTGGCTGCTGTCTTGCTTCGCAGACTGTGCAAAATACGTGAAGGATTGATTCGCGAAGAGCAGGCTGGGTTTCGTTCAGGTCGTGGATGCATTGATCATGTGTTCACCCTTCGTCAGTTGTTGGAACACCGCCACACGTATTGCAGGCCAACGATCGTTGTGTTTCTTGATATTAGGGCTGCCTTCGATTCGTTGGACAGAACTGTGCTCTGGAACTGTCTGTTAGAGAGAGGTGTACCTGAGAAATTTGTTAACATCCTGAAAGCCCTATACAGAAACACCTCAGGTAGAGTGAGGGCATACAACCAACTATCACCACTGTTCCCAACCAACAGTGGGGTTAGACAGGGTTGCCCAATCTCTCCATTTCTCTTTAACTTTGCCATCGATGACATTCTGGAGTCAGCTCTGAAGGATGTGCGTGAAGGTGGTGTAGATCTGCTACCTGGAGATAGACTTTTCGACCTCGAGTATGCAGACGATATCGTCTTACTGTGCGATAGCATGCAGGCTGCCCAAATCGCACTTAATCAGTTGGCGATCAGTGTCTGTAAGTATGGTATGTGCTTTGCGCCGTCTAAGTGCAAAGTACTGTTACAAGATTGGCAGGAGCCTGTACCTGCACTCACTCTTGCGGGTGAACCGCTTGAAGTTGTTGATAAGTTTGTGTACCTGGGTAGTTGTGTGAGTGCTGGCGGAGGGGTGACGGATGAGATTTCCAACCGTATAATGAAGGCTAGGGTGGCATACATCAACTTGAGCCACCTCTGGCGCCGTCGCGACGTTAGCCTGGCTGTCAAAGGTCGGGTATACAATGCTTCGGTGCGGGCTGTCCTGCTCTACGCCTGTGAAACCTGGCCTCTCCGAGCTGAGGATGTGCGGCGACTCTGCGTGTTCGATCACCGCTGTCTCCGCAGGATTGCTTGCGTTCGATGGCATCATCGCGTGAGTAATTCTGAGGTTCGGCGGCGTGTGTTTGAACAAAGTGGAGATCACTATTCATTGAATGTCGTCATCTGGAAACACCGGCTCCGGTGGCTTGGACATGTGCTCCGAATGTCACCCCAGAGGCTTCCGTACAGGTCTCTGTTCGCTAGCCCTGGGACGGGATGGAAAAGGCGGAGAGGTGGTCAGTCCATGACGTGGCGTCGTGGGATGAAGGATTTTTGTGCTAGATTAGCATCGGTTGGTGTGTCACGACTCCCTGGTTGGGGTCCGAGAGATAGCTCAAATCGATGGCTCGAAACGTTATCGGATATGGCCAAGAATCGTAATCAGTGGCGAATGTGTTGTGATTTCCTTCTTTCTTCCCTTCCCGATGATAGCTAACGAACACTGTTTGAACTTGTTAAGCATGACTGTTTTCCTTCCAGATGAAGTTCTTTATCCGTTCTCTACTTATATTATTTTTCTTTTCCTTCCTTCCTTTTTTTTGATCTATGTTGTTTTATTATTATTGTGTGGCGCATCTTTCTTGGTGCCATATTGTACCAAGTTTTTTATGCGTTTAAATAAATAATAAGAGATATTTGCGTTGGTGTTTCGCGGTAGAACGCTCGCCAACCCTACATGTGGTTCGGGGTTCCGTCCTCCACCAGCGTACTCCTTTACGTCACTAAGCCAGTAGCATTGCCAGGAAAGAGGAAAGGTTGACCGTGAAGCTAAGAGCCCTACTCCGTAAAAAAAATAACAAAAAACCCATTGCTACTGGAACACCAAAGCTCCAGCTTGAAGCCATATGTTCCACTTGGAACTTAAAGGAATGAAGTAATACCAACTAAATAATATACAAACCTCTTGAATGTTTAAAAAGAGGAAATAGAGTGAAGGAAGCAGTATGTCATTTTTATTTGCCTCCTAATCTATGAGTTCATCTTGATATATGAACTGAAATAAGTAACGTCAAGTAACTCTACTCATCGTCATCGAACAAAACATAGAATGGCAGTCAAACCTCAGCCTACCTCAACTTCATCGCTTTCCATCCATGCATTTACCATCCTGAGAAGGATGTTGAACGTAGTTAGTAGGACTAGTGGTGTAAAACTCAGTCAGCTCGTCACTACATTAGTGCGTCGGTGGCACAGTGGTTAGGACTCTCGCCGATCATGCACATGGTCCGGGGTTCGAGCCCACGCCGGCGCACACCTGATATCTATGGTCGGCCTGCGAAATTTGGGCTACCGATATCCATGCTGAAAATTCCATACTTGTACCAAAAATACAGTGTGGAATCAAGCTGTAAATCTAAAAAAATCTAAAAAAAAACAAAGGTATCTGAATACATACGAAAAATGGTCTAAAACCATACTCTCCAACCCCCAACACCCCCTCTATTCCCAACTCTCCCCTTGCATCTCATCAGGTAGAACTAGAAATCAGTACAAAATAATATATATATATACAACCAAGTATAGGAACTCAACGATACCAGATTTGGCCATCCCGCGTTCTAAGTGACAGAGATAATGTTAAGCGCGAAACCTATGACTTGCTTTGTTGTTAATAACATAATTTTGGCCCTTTTATTTCTCCCTCATACTCTCTTATTTGTACTCTATAGTGAACAACCTTTTTAAACATACTTAGCTACTTAATATTATTATGATTGGCTTACTTTTTTTGTACTTTACTCTATTCCTTCTTTTGTGTATCTACTGGTTCCGACTATATTGTCACTATGATTATTACAAAATTGTCCTGTCATTAACCATCATGTAATATTAGTTTTGTGGTTATTCTTTGTTCGGCACTATTTAACTGACAATCTTGTTTGTGAACGCCACTATCACCATCTTAAAAATTCTATATTATGCAGGATTACTCACACTACCACAACAAACACCGCATTTGTGCTGACAATAAAAAAAAACACAACTTAAATGTTTATTTTATGATTGTTTAGTGTTGTTCAATCAAATTAACTGATCATCTTGGTTATAAACGTTCTTAAGAACATCTCATAACTTCTTGTATGATTATAGCTGTTACTGTTTCACCACGCATACACATATCATAGCTTCCACAACCCAATACTGAAATATTTTTTCATTATTGGTGTCTATCTCCCTTTCTACTTGGTATTTTTATTTGCATTTTTTTGTTATTTTTGTGTTTCTTTTTGGTTTCTGTAGTTGTTGTTTTTTTATAATTTTATTTTTTTTGTAATACCCCTTTTAAATGTACGATGAAATTAGATGCAATATTGTAGATATGTGGTGAAAATTCCACACTGTACCACAAGTACTGTTTCTGGAATAAAAGCGAAATTATTATTTCGAAAACACCTTCGACAGACAGCGTTGACCGAGAAGTAATTTGGAAAATATTTCAAAACTATGG